GGAGAAATGATGAAAGCAGCAACATAGCTGATAGACACAGTATCAAAACGACTCTGACACAGAACAGGCAGAGTTGAATATATCTATCTGCAACAATCTTTCAGTCTTGCTGATTGGCGAAAATGTTGAAGCTCCACCTACTGCCAAAGACAGGGGGTGGTGAACAACCAACCTTGTTTCTGTGTGTACCATGGAATCCTTGTTTAATGTACATCGTAGGATTGATGCATTCATTTATTTTTAACAATACCATTTCATTCTTGTTATACTGCATTATGAAGAAAAAAGTTTGAAATTAATAATTGATCTGGACATGAAGCTAGGGTTATTGTTAGGGTTGATCTGGGTAGGGAATATGAAGCTAGGGTTTAGGGCAGTGGCAACCCATCATTCTGTTTTTCTTTAGCAAAAAAAATCTATAATAAATCATCAAAATCGTATATATTTTTTGCCTGTTATGCATGGTATTTTGGCATTCATATTTGTCACATATCAATGTGCAAACAATGTAAAACATTTTTTTTATTGAGTCAATAAAGCTAAATACAAACATGGTCTCTTTTTTGCTTTCTTGGGTAAGGAAGTTCCAAAATGCAGGTGTTTCAGCCTACCTCATTGCTTTCTGTGGTGGAGGGGCAGCCAGCGGAAAATACAGAGTGTAGGGGTTGGTAATCTTCTCTAGTTGTGCCGTGATTGGCTCAGTGTTCTGCCACTCATAGGGACAATATGTCACTGCAAAACATACAGGCAGAGCTAGAAAGTTCAAGCCCCCTTGGATGCTGCCATAGATTTACGTTAGAAGTGCCCATCCAAGAAGGCTCAAGGTCATTGGCCACAGATAAAATGACGTCAAATCACGTTATATCTACGGTACCTTTGTTTGGACAGATCATGTCAACATCATACTTTCAAAATCTTAACTAGCAAACGAGACAAGCAGTCGTCATCATGAATCACGTTGGCAATCTACTGGCAAATCCTTTTCAATCCTTGTCATATGAAGAGAAATTATAGATAAAACGTATCGGTGCTCATCGGCCATTGGACATAAACATTACACAACAAGTTGGAAATCGCAAATTAAACAATGAGTGGTTTGGAAGGAATCAGTTGCTAACTGCAAGCGTTGCAAAGTAATCACTATTTTGCTTCCCCTGCTATTCGGTGGAGAGGGTGTGTGGTCAAAGTCTGGGTTTAAGGGCCACTTTTCCAAGCTTAAAAAGATAAACATTCACACACAACACCATGGGGCAGAAAAGGTTGAATACATTTGTCACGATCGTTTACGAACGAGATTCATATTTATTTACGCTAAATACACGACAAAACAACAAACAATACGTAAAGTCCAAGGTAGCATAACACTACAAACATACCTCACACGGAACAAGAAACCACAACCCACTAGTGCCAATAGGCTACCTAAGTATGGTCCCCAATCAGAGACAACAAGCTACAGCTGCCTCTGATTGGGAACCACACCGGCCAACACAGATCTACACGATCTAGAACTACACATAGAAAATACAACATAGAACTTCCTACACAGAAAATACACACCCTGACTCAACAAATACAAGTCCCCAGAGTCAGGGCGTGACAGTACCCCCCCCCAAAGGTGCGGACTCCGACCGCGCCACATAAACATAACAGGGTAGGGGCCGGGTGGGCATTCCGCCTCGGAGGCGGATCCGGCTCCGGGCGTGACCACCACTTACTCTCCACCTCCCTGTTGCGCCCCTGGTCTGGTCTGGACCTCGGCGCGCTGCTTCCCCTCTCGTTCCTCCCACGACGTACCAAGCCCTGTCTGGACCCTGGTGTGGGAGAACCCGAACCTGGAGAGGGGCTGACGTCTGGGTCTGGACTGGAACCGCTGACTGGATCTGGACTGGACCCAGGTGGAGCGGATTGCTCTGACTCCGGAGTGGAGCAGCTGACCGGAGCTGGACCAGGCACCGGTGGGACAGGCACGGGCCGTGCCGGACTGGACACACGCACCACTGGCTTGGTGCGAGGAGCAGGAACAGGCCGGACCGGTCTGGCGACGCGCACCACTGGCTTGGTGCGAGGGACAGGAACAGGCCGGACCGGGCTGGCGATGCGCACCACTGGATTGGTGCGAGGGACAGGAACATGCCGGGCCGGGCTGGCGACGCGCACCACTGGCTTGATGCGAGGGACAGGAACAGGCCGGACCGGGCTGGCGACGCGCACCACTGGCTTGGTGCGAGGGACAGGAGCAGGCCGGGCCGGGCTGGCGACGCGCACCACTGGTTTGGTGCGAGGGACAGGAACAGGCCGGACCGGGCTGGCGACGCGCACCACTGGCTTGGTGCGAGGGACAGGAACAGGCCGGACCAGGCTGGCGACGCGCACCACTGGCTTGGTGCGAGGGAAAGGAACAGGCCGGGCCGGGCTGGCGACGCGCACCACTGGCTTGATGCGAGGAGCCGGAACGGGCCGAACCGTACTGGGAACACACACCACTGGCTTAGTGCGGGGAGCAGGAACGGGCCGTACCGGATTGGCGACACGCACCACTTGCTTGGTGCGAGGAGCGGGACTGGGTTCCTTTATAAACCCCCGCTCCTTCTGCTGCCTAACCAGCTCCTCTCGCCGTGCCTCTACACTCTGCTTCTCCCTTATTGCCTCCTGTAGTGCCTCTCTCTAATAACTCCTGCTCCCTCAGAACCAATAGCCCCCTTAACCTGGTGGCCTCCTCTCCTAACCTGCATATCCGCCCTGTCGCTGCCTCCTGCTGCCTCGTCGTCCACACCGTGTGCCCCCCCCAAAAAAAGTTATTGGGTTGCCTCTCGGGTCTCCGTCGTCAGCACTCCTCTTCCCGTGAGGACTCCTCCGGGAGCCCCCACGAGTTAGGGAACAGACACTCGTCGTCGTCGTCGTCATCATCCGACATCATCCGACATCATCCGTCATCATCCGTCCGTCATCATCCGTGTAGTACTGTTCCCACTCCTCTTCCCAAGGTCGTAGGGACCCAATCCGAAACCCAACCGGGTGCAGTGGTCGGGGCTCTTCTCTATCGCTCCCCCTAAAGGGGTGGTCAGGGAGCGATAGAGAAGAGCCCCGACCACCCCTTTAGCCCCCCTCAAAAATTTTTTTGGGGCTGCTTCTCGGGCCTCCTCCTCGGCTGGCTTCCGTGTTGCCGTCGTTCCTCTCCTGCCTGGCCCTTTCCCCGCGAATATCTCCTCCCATGACCACCATTTGCCCACCTGTGACATCGCTATACGCTCTTCCTGGGCACGCTGCTTGGTCCTTGTTTGGTGGGATCTTCTGTCACGATCGTTTACGAACGAGAAGGACCAAGGCGCAGCGTGATATGCATTCATATTTATTTACGCTAAATACACGACAAAACAACAAACGATACGTGAAGTCCAAGGTAGCATAACACTACAAACATACCTCACACGGAACAAGATCCCACAACCCACTAGTGCCAATAGGCTACCTAAGTATGCGCCCCAATCAGAGACAACGAGCTACAGCTGCCTCTGATTGGGAACCACACCAGCCAACATAGATCTACACGATCTAGAACTACACATAGAAAATACAACATAGAACTTCCTACACAGAAAATACACACCCTGACTCAACAAATACAAGTCCCCAGAGTCAGGGCGTGACAACATTGGCCATGCTGTCGATCCAGCATGACATCTGCCGCGTTCAAAACAACTGGAAACTCAGAACTGGGAAATCTCAGACTTCAGTGAATTCAAGACAACTGGGAACTCTGAATAAAACAAGCTCCGACTGGAAAATACGTTTTGAACGGTCATCCAACTTGTAATTCCAAGTCGGGAACTCGGTCCTCTTTCTAGAGCTCTGACCTGAAGATCACTGATATCATGATTCAACTTTGTTTTTTTCCATGTTCCCAGTTGTCTTGAAAGCACCATAAATCCAGATAATGCCAGACTTTGTAGACAAAGTTGAATGATAAATGTTTGCCCACAAGAAGGACCGCCACCTTCCATTTTTAAGTGAGCACAGTACAACGGTGAGTCCAAAAATGTCTGGTATGCTGCTGCATAAATTATGTAATATACCAGGGAGATATGTATACTGTAGCTAAGAAAGTACTACTAACTGTACAGTATGTTTTGTAGTAAGCTGTTAGTAGCCCATGTGCCTCACCCTAATAATTTGGTCCCTTTCCCCCTCATAACTTAGCCTACTGTTCTGACTTGGTGGTGCACATGTAGCCTATAGCCTGTTTTAGAGAAATGTCATCATCAAATATTGTAAGAGCTTTCATTGTCTGCATAGATGCCCTCTTTATTTATCCTACGGTTCTGACTTGGTGTACAGGGAGAATACTGTAAGAACGGCCAATGTTCTGAATTCTGTCGCTGTACATTCCAAAAGTTCTGAACAAATAGTTATATTGACTACATCTGTCTTAGCTCGCTCATTAATGTCTTAATCAAAATTAATGATTGCCTCTTATCCGCTCATCGTTCCCTTATGCCATAGTTTGTACATCTCAATTGTCAGTAGAAAGCACATTTGTTTAATAAGAAAGTCAGCCATATCAGCTATGTTTTTTAAAAAGGCAGTAAATGAGGCTGAATGAACTGTTTCCCTGCCAGACATGGCTCCGCTGATAGGTGTAGTGGTGGTAAGGAGTCACTCCATGGTGCTGAAAAGAAAGCTCTGCTGTTGGGACAGCTTTCTGTTGGCCCTAACAGTTTGTGGGCACCATTTGTCACCGTTATAGTGCAATTAATGTATTGTTTAGTGTTGTGTTGTGTAGTGGCTTTGCTGACATATATCTAAAAATATATATTTTAGTTTGATTTATATGCTAAGATCGCCACTCGGTTAGGGTTATGGTTCGGGTTACGGCTAGGGTTAGGGTTGATCCGGGGTGTGGACATTAAGCTAGGGTTAGGGTTAGGGTAATGGCTAGTAAAGAGGGGTTTAGTGTTTTAGACATATTCGTTGATGTGCCTGTTGATAACTCCCTCCCCTCAATTAGATGTTATACTGTAGATTTTTGAACAGTGTTTCAGAGCAGAGTCTGTCACTTCAGCAGAGGAGATCTCCAGAACCACACCTTTGGCCTTTTTGTGATGATTCAGAGTGAACCCTGGTGTATTATCCACATACTCCATAACCAGTAACTGTGGTGCTGATTTGGGATATTGTCGATACCATTGAAGAGTGACATCAGATGTGTAGTTACAAGAGAGAGTAACTCTGTCCCTTTCTGACGCCATTTCGACATCAGTGTAGGGTGGTATTACCTGTTCAGAACTGAGACCTGTAAAACACAATATTATATATTATATTATTATACACACATGGAAGATTGAATTAATTTCAAATGCAGTTTAAAGAGAAAATGTTTTCAAAGTTAGAAACATGCGTCCTCATATCATGTATTATCTTTATAATCTTCGATTTAGAAAAATAAATACACCTTAACATAATCACACTCAGGTTAAATCAAAATGTCATTAGTTACATATCAAGTCAAACAAGAGTAAAAGTGAACAGAACACCATTGTAGATTGCAGGATGTGTAGAATAAGCACCAGTTGCTGATGAAAAGCACAGCTTCAACTGGCTATGATCTTCATGGTAGTTTCATGTTTTATATTCAGGATTCATAATCTGATCCTGAGTTTAATACTCTGGCTCCTCCTGCTGACAATGTTGAATCAAACAACAATGTTTTATATTCACTTGAAGCAGTTTACAAACGATTTATGCACAAATCTCCATTTGATGGCTCTATGGTCAAAGAAAAGATAGCAGATGTTTGTAAAACCACAAACTGACAGATCAAACAAAATACATCAGATGCATGTAAATCTCTAACTAACTGACAGGTGACAGGTCTGTATTCTGCTGAGTGCTGAGTCAGTGAGTTATGTGTCCCTGTTGACAACACAGCACAGTAGTACAGAGCAGTCTCTCACTTCAGCAGAGGAGATCTCCCGATCCACACAGGTCTTTTTTTTGTTCAGTTTAACAGTGAGGCGAGGGTAGGGAGGTTTAGCTCTCACTACAGTCCTAGAGGCATGGTGGATGAAGAGGAAGAATTGGGGGAGCTGATCCTGGATACTGTTTATACCACAGTACACTGTATGCTGAGGAGTAGTTGCAGGAAAGCTGAACATTACTACCCTCCTCTCCATACACTTCATGTTGGTTTGGCTGGATGGTCTGCTGAAAACTGTCACCTACAAATGTGAAGAGGTGATGGATAAATCCCAAAGAAGATGTATTTGAAATGAGGAAAGATCTTGGTGTTTACTCTAAAATCCAATAATACAGATAAACTATACATTAGCCTAAACAGGAATACAGTAATTTACTAAGCTGTGCAGACAGTAAAATAACTGTGTAGAGAACCATCATATTGTAGCTGAGGTTATATGTTGGAGTGAAATCCAACACAGTTTTTATAGGAGAATTTGTGTTCTTGAACCTACAGTAGTAAGCCCCACCCCTGCCCTAAAATATGCATAAGAGTATATCAGGAGCAGTCAGGTTTTTGTACAGTGGTTCTGGGTTTACTGTCACTGTGGGCTTCAGGGCGCAGTAGTACAGAGCAGAATCTGTAACTTCAGCAGAGGAGATCTCCAGATCCACACGGGTTCTCTCCTTGTTCAGTGTAACAGACAGTTGAAGGTCTTGTTGATCACCTTTCACTTCATGTGGCTTATTGGTAGTTGTTACGAGGTAAAGGAATTGTAGACCTGATCCAGAGTACTGTCTGTACCACAGCAGACTATCTGCTATTACTGTATAGTTACAGGAGAGCTTAACTCTGCTACCCTCTAAATAATACTCCTCAGGGCTGGTTGGAGTAATATCATCCTCTAAAGCAGGGTTCTTCAATTCCGGTTCTGGAGGGCCGAAACACTTCTGTTTTTTATTTCTACCTGGTAGTTAATTGCACTCACCTGGTGTCCCAGGTCTGAATTAGCCCCTGATTAGAAGGAGAGGATGAAAAACAGAGGTGTTTCGGCCCTCCAGGACCGGAATTGAAGAACCCTGCTCTAAAGTATCACCTGTGAAGGAGAAGAAATTACACATGAAGACTAATAAATACAGTACATGACTAGAACTTCATATTTCATAATTGAAGCGCAACAATATTCAAGAATAAAATAGTGCCATTAGACAATGTGGAAATGACTTTAAATAAAACCTTACTTACCAACAAGTGCTGAAAACAGTAAGATTGAAGTGAGCAACATCATGGTGTATGTGACAGAAAATGCAGCTACAGGACAGGGTTTAACTCAACTGTCTGATATGCAGTGTACTGTGATCTGTGATATGCAGTGTACTGTGATCTGCAGGATGTGATATGTGATATGTACTGTTTGGCTGCTGTCTGTCTTCCCTGCAACTACCTCCACTGTCAGGAGGAGGAGCCACCTGCTCAGAGAAATAGAGGTTTGTGTAGTGTTGAGGTGAAGCCTTCTTTAGAAGACAGGGAGTTACACTCAAATCAAATCAAATCAAATTTGATTTGCCACATGCGCCGAATACAACAGGTGTAGACATTACAGTGAAATGCTTACTTACAAGCCCATAACCAACAATGCAGTTTAAGAAAAAATAAAAATAGCAAATAATTAAAGAGCAGCAGTAAAATAAAATAACAGTAGGGAGGCTATATACAGGGGGTACTGGTACAGAGTCAATGTGCGGGGGCACCGGTTAGTTGAGGTAATTGAGGTAATATGTACATGTGGGTAGAGTTAAAGTGACTATGCATAAATAATAAACAGAGTAGCAGCAGCGTAAAAGAGGGGGTTGGGGTGGGGTGGGGTGGGGTGGGGGGGCAATGCAAATAGTCCGGGTAGCTATGATTAGCTGTTCAGGACTCTTATGGCTTGGGGGTAGAAGCTGTTAAGAAGCCTTTTGGACCTAGACTTGGCACTCCGGTACCACTTGCCGTGCGGTAGCAGAGAGAACAGTCTATGACTAGGGTGGCTGGAGTCTTTGACCATTTTTAGGGCCTTCCTCTAACACCGCCTGGTATAGAGGTCCTGGATGGCAGGAAGCTTGGACCCAGTGATGTACTGGGCCATACACACTGCCCTCTATAGTGCCTTGCGGTCAGAGGCTGAGCAGTTGCCATACAACGTTGTGATGCAACCAGTCAGGATGCTCTCGATGGTGCAGCTGTAGAACTTTTTGAGGATCTGAGGATCCATGCCAAATCTTTTCAGTCTCCTAAGGGGGAATTGGCTTTGTCGTGCCCTCTTCATGACTGTCTTGGTGTGTTTGGACCATGATAGATTGCTGGTGATGTGGACACCAAGGAACTTGAAGCTCGCAACCTGTTCCCCTACAGCCCCTTCGATGAGAATGTGGGCGTGCTCAGTCCTTTTTTTTTTTCCTGTAGTCCACAATCATCTCCTTTGTCTTGAACACGTTGAGGGAGAGGTTGTTATCCTGGCACCACAGGGCCAGGTCTCTGACCTCCTCCCTATAGGCTGTCTCATCATTGTCGGTGATCAGGCCTACCAATGTTGTGTCGTCGGCAAACTGATGGTGTTGGAGTCGTGCCTGGCCATGCAGTCATGGGTGAACAGGGAGTACAGGAGGGGACTGAGCACGCACCCCTGAGGGGCCCCCGTGTTGAGGATCAGCGTGGCAGATGTGTTGTTACCTACCCTTACCACCTGGGGGCGGCCCGTCAGAAAGTCCAGGATCCAGTTGCAGAGGGAGGTGTTTAGTCCCAGGGTCCTTATCTTAGTGATGAGCTTTGAGGGCACACTGTATATCTTGTTGATTTAAATGGTATTGATTGGGGTGAAGAAGGACTGATAATGTGGACATCTTTAAGCGTTCAGGTGTTGTAATCCTGAGTTGGAATAGCCAGATAATAATTAGATCTGAAACAGTTCACAACAATAATTTTTATCCCCTGCTTCTGTACATTTGTTTTACAGTGTGTCTGGGTTTCCTGTCATTGTGGGCCTCAGAACACAGTAGTACATAGCAGAGTCTGTCACTTCAGCAGAGGAGATCTTCAGATCCACACGTTCAGCCACTTTGTCAACGTTAACTGACAGTCGAGGATACGGTGGATCTGCACTAACTATTGTCTCAGCAGATGCTGAAATGAGTTGAGGAGGAGGAATTGGGAAGCAGATGTGGGATATTGGTGATACCATCAGACACTGCCTCCACCAGATACTGTGTAGTTGCAGGAAAGCTTGACACTGCCACCATGTATCACATCCTCCTCAAGACTGTTGGAGAAAATTCCATCCCCACAACTATCACCTGCAGAAAATAAAATACAAGTTATATTTGTCTGCCCAAAGCGTGATATGAATTCTGTTGTAATTAAGTAATTACACATTATCATTACTGTTAAATCGCAGAGTACGACCCTACCTTACACAGAAAGTGGCACAGGTCCTAATCTAGGCACTTGTCATCTCCCGTCTGGATTACTGCAACTCGCTGTTGGCTGGGCTCCCTGCCTGTGCCATTAAACCCCTTCAACTTATCCAGAACGCTGCAGCCCGTCTGGTGTTCAACCTTCCCAAGTTCTCTCACGTCACCCCACTCCACCGCACACTCCACTGGCTTCCAGTTGAGGCTTGCATCTACTACAAGACCATGGTGCTTGCCTACGGAGCTGTGAGGGGAACGGCACCTCCTTACCTTCAGGCTCTGATCAGACCCTACACCCAAACGAGGGCACTACGTTCATCTACCTCTGGCCTTCTAGCTCCCCTACCTCTACGGAAGCACAGTTCCCACTCAGCCCTGTCAAAGCTATTCGCTGCTCTGGCACCCCAATGGTGGAACAAGCTCCCCCATGACGCCAGGACAGTGGAGTCACTGACCACGTTCCGGAGACACTTGAAACCCTACCTCTTTAAGGAATACCTGGAATAGTATAAAAGTAATCCTTCTTCCCCACCCCACATAAAAAAAAGTGGTTGTCCCACTGGCTATCATAAGTTTAATGCACCTATTTGTAAGTCGCTCTGGATAAGAGCGTCTGCTAAATGATGTAAATGTAAATGTAAATGTATCAGTGTACTAGTTTTTGTACATCCTCTGAGAGACTCTGTATCGCTGGGCGTCCTTCATGGCACAGTAGTAGAGAGCTGTGTCTGCCAGCGTTACTTATTTTATCATGAGTGTAGTTGAAGTTTGGGACGTTGTAGATTCAAATGGATGATTTGAGATATGGTCAACACTATTTGCTCTGGCACCTTTATACAGTAGGTACTGAGGTGCCTGGTTAGAGTATTGTTGGTACCAATAAAGGTAGATGTTACTTATCTAAGCTCACTAGTCACCATAGCAACACCCACCCGTAGTCTGTGCTCCAGCAGGTATATCTCACTGGTCATCCCCAAAGCCAACACCTCCTTTGGCCGCCATTCCTTCCAGTTCTCTGCTGCCAATGACTGGAACGAACTGCAAAAATCTCTGAAGCTGGAGACTCTTATCTCCCTCACTAACTTTAGGCGTCAGTTGTCAGAGCAGCTTACCGATCACTGCACCTGTACACAGTCCATCTGTAATTACCCCATCCAACTACCTCATCCCCATATTGTTATTTATTTTGCTAATTTGCACCCCAGTATCTCTATTTGCACATCATCTTTTGCACATCTATCATTCCAGTGTTAATACGAAATTGTAACTATTTTGCACTATGGCCTATTTATTGCCTTACCTCCATAATTTACTACATTCGCACACACTGTATATATTTTCTCTGTTGTATTTTTGACTTTATGTTTTGTTTACCCCATATGTAAATCTGTGTTGTTGTTTTTATCGCACTGCTTTGCTTTATCTTGGCCAGGTCGCAGTTGTAAATGAGAACTTGTTCTCAACTGGCTTACCTGGTTAAATAAAGGTGAAATAAATAAAAAAATAAAAATATATATATATCATTAAAAAAATATATGTACAGCTCTGTGTCACTGATGATCCCTCAGTGGGGGTGTACTCCTCCTTGTCAGGAGTCACACTATCTCCAGATACCATTCCTGCAGAGGAAAAATAGATAATCAAGTTGATTGAAAACATATGCTTATTTTTTAAGACTTTTTAGAAATCAACTTAGTTATTCACATATAAATGACTTTACTTCAACAAAATATGTTTTACTACTGTCATTTTAATTCACCACTAAGGACTCAAACTCAATGTAAATTAATCAATTTTTATTATAACGGCCGGAGAGGTTCACAAACTCAATCCAAGCTTGATGAAAACTCTGAATAGGGCATTCCCTTTCAGTCTTCTTATACTGCTACACCACCAAGTTATGTAAGCATGATTTACATTATTAATTATTCATAATTAATGTTGTTTCCTGCACGTGACTGACTGACACCTCATAAGGTTTCTTCTCTCAAAGCTGGGACCTTGAAACATATACTCCTTTTGGTTCCCAGAACCATGTTCTGGGCGTACTGCCAATTGGTCTGAGGAGGAGGTTACAGTCAATTGCGTGAACCAAGATAGAGTGAGAGAAGATGCTGTTTACAATTCAAGGCTTATCTCTTCAGACAATAACATTTTCCCTCATATTCCCTCCTTTTATCACTCTGTGATAATTATCGTTAAATTTGAAGGTAAGCATTAGATTATAGCTTCTATCAAAGCAGGTTCTATACTTCTAATAAAGTAAGCGAAATCAACACATAAAACCAGACTCTTTATCCTTTCAAACCCTTCACTCCGGGTTGTACAATTGAAAATACACACACATACACAAGGGATCTGTAGACTCAGATTATTTCCATAGCTCTTACCACAATCGGGTTGCATTGACCTGTTCTGTACTAACTGTCCCTGGGACTAGTCAAAATATAAAACCTGTTGTTTAACAAATACAATAGGGCCTTCAAAAAGTTGGTGCTGACTTATCAGCTCAGTATTCAGTACTAAAACATTTACTTGGATCTTCTTCAATTTTGGACAGTGTTCCACGTATTGGAAACAGATTATTGTTTTAGATGACATTACCTTCTTATTTAAATAACTGGTATATTCAAACTATCAAATTGAGAAATAATAATTGGAAATCGTCAAAAACGTATCTTATTCAATTATTCATACCTACAGTGGGGGAAAAAAGTATTTAGTCAGCCACCAGTTGTGCAAGTTCTCCCACTTAAAAAGATGAGAGAGGCCTGTAATTTTCATCATAGGTACACGTCAACTATGACAGACAAATTGAGAAAAAAAATCCAGAAAATCACATTGTAGAATTTTTAATGAATTTATTTACAAATTATGGTGGAAAATAAGTATTTGGTCACCTACAAACAAGCAAGATATCTGGCTCTCACAGACCTGTAACTTCTTCTTTAAGAGGCTCCTCTGTCCTCCACTCGTTACCTGTATTAATGGCACCTGTTTGAACTTGTTATCAGTATAAAAGACACCTGTCCACAACCTCAAACAGTCACACTCCAAACTCCACTATGGCCAAGACCAAAGAGCTGTCAAAGGACACCAGAAACAAAATTGTAGACCTGCACCAGGCTGGGAAGACTGAATCTGCAATAGGTAAGCAGCTTGGTTTGAAGAAATCAACTGTGCGAGCAATTATTAGGAAATGGAAGACATACAAGACCACTGATAATCTCCCTCGATCTGGGGCTCCACGCAAGATCTCACCCCGTGGGGTCAAAATGATCACAAGAACGGTGAGCAAAAATCCCAGAACCACAAGGGGGGACCTAGTGAATGACCTGCAGAGAGCTGGGACCAAAGTAACAAAGCCTACCATCAGTAACACACTACGCTGCCAGGGACTCAAATCCTGCAGTGCCAGACGTCCCCCTGCTTAAGCCAGTACATGTCCAGGCCCGTCTGAAGTTTGCTAGAGTGCATTTGATGATCCAGAAGAGGATTGGGAGAATGTCATATGGTCAGATGAAACCAAAATAGAACTTTTTGGTAAAAACTCAACTTGTCGTGTTTGGAGGACAAAGAATGCTGAGTTGCATCCAAAGAACACCATACCTACTGTGAAGCATGGGGGTGGAAACATCATGCTTTGGGGCTGTTTTTCTGAAAAGGGACCAGGACGACTGATCCGTGTAAAGGAAAGAATGAACGGGGCCATGTATTGTGAGATTTTGAGTGAAAACCTCCTTCCATCAGCAAGGGCATTGAAGATGAAACGTGGCTGGGTCTTTCAGCATGACAATGATCCCAAACACACCGCCCAGGCAACGAAGGAGTGGCTTCGTAAGAAGCATTTCAAGGTCCTGGAGTGGCCTAGCCAGTCTCCAGATCTCAACCCCATAGAAAATCTTTGGAGGGAGTTGAAAGTCCGTGTTGCCCAGCGAAAGCCCCAAAACATCACTGCTCTAGAGGAGATCTGCATGGAGGAATGGGCCAAAATACCAGCAACAGTGTGTGAAAACCTTGTGAAGAGTTACAGAAAACGTTTGACCTGTGTCATTGCCAACAAAGGGTATATAACAAAGTATTGAGAAACTTTTGTTATTGACCAAATACTTATTTTCCACCATAATTTGCAAATAAATTCATTAAAAATCCTACAATGTGATTTTCTGGAAAAAAAAATCTCATTTTGTCTGTCATAGTTAACGTGTACCTATGATGAAAATTACAGGCCTCTCTCATCTTTTTACGTGGGAGAACTTGCACAATTGGTGGCTGACTAAATACTTTTTTCCCCCACTGTATGTCCCAAATTTTCCCACTGTGTCCCTTACAGCCTGTTTGAGTTTCCCACTGTTACTGGCGGCTTATCTATCGGTCCACAGGAAGCTTATCTTTAAACCAAACACCAGATGGCACCCTCTAATATAATCAGTCCCAAGGCTCAATCCCTCTGTTCATCATTTGAATTTGTACTTGAACATTTACTTCTTCAAATTACTAAGATATTAAATTATTAGAGTGCTATCTGAATGCCACTAATATTACCATTCATTTTGTTACTTTCACTAGTCTCCATATCTGTTTCCTTCAACTAGGACCCTCCCTTTCTTCCCAATAGGAAAAACCCTCTCAATCACTACTGCTAATGCACACGGATCACTCTCAAGTTATGTTCCTTTACCCCTATTGTAAGGTTTAAAAACAAACAAAACAAACATGATAACTTTCTCCTTATTGGAAGGCATTGTTTGCATTTTAGTCTACCCTAACAAAGTTACTCTTAATATTTATTACCAATTTCTGTTGGATATTCACTTTCTGCTTCGCACTCATTAAATGTCTATTATTTCGAGATTGATATGTAATGCGCCGAAATTATGAAATACATCAACCAATTCAGAAGGGGAGGGATAACCTTTGGAGGGAGCTTCCTTTTTAAGGTAGCTCTCGAGACTAGAGTTTATTTCTGGGACCAACAGTTATTATAACTGGGCTAGCATTGCCTATCATTCGACATTCATTGGAATGTTCTGTCCATAAGGTTTCTGGCACCTGAGACAAAATAGACTGGGAGGCAGTGTCAGACCCCTACTCCTCCTGGGGGAATGGTTCAATTTGCCTGCTTACTGATTGGTTTAATATCTCATCGTTTGGGATATCAATGAAAACTCCATCTGGGGTACAGTAAATTGTGGCATTAAGATTAGTTAAGAAGTCTCTACCTAGCAAATAAACGGTTGGGTGGGTTAATACAGAAAAAAAATTTCAACGTTCATTGGTCCTATGAAATAGGGCATGGGTTTCGTTTCAAAATGTATTACTGGGGTGGAGGAAATCCCTTAAGCGTTTAAGCACCTGTATCTACCAACATAGGAATTTCCTTCCCCTGTATGTTTACCATAATGTTTGGGCCTGATTGGTCTACTTATATCTGTGGGTATTGCTGTTGTGGATATTGCTGTATTAAAGATGTTGTCTTAACCAGCCACAATAGGGACACCCCGTCCCTATTGTTGCTGGTTAATTTAATGTAGTTATTGACGAAGCCTCTGATTTAACATGTCGATGATATTTTGAGTTGGAAGCTGTTTTAAAAGCATAGAAAATGCACCAATCTTTGTCTGAGGCTTTATTTCCCAAACCCTTTAGACAGTCATAAAACTTGGTAGTGGCCATTCCATCAGTCCTCTTAGTTATGAGGGCCCAGCATGGCTCTCCTTCTCCGATGACCATCTAATTCTGGGCCACTACTCTGGGCCTGCGTTGGTCCCTTTGGCTCAGGACTCATTTCACCCTCTGTCAGGTTTCCGCAGTGAGGGTGGTCAGAAGAACTTGGTACGGCCCTCTCCAATGGGGGTCCTTCCAGCTCTTTCTCCTGAAGTCTTTGACCACCACGAAATCACCTGGGTTCAAATAGTACTCATCTCCACCTGCCAGGCTCGGCAAAAGCACCTTCACTCGGGGGAAAGAGTCTTAAGAACACTGTTAAGGGTGACACAATACTCAACCATGTCTTCCTCCATTCCTTGCAGGGACAACCTGTTCTCTGGAAATCCTCATCAGTACATTGTTAGTCATGCAAATCAAACATTGTACAACCCCACCACCAGATACATTTTCTGCAAACACATTTATTTACAAGATCCACCATCCCTCCTTTTGACACATGGTCTTGACCATGTGACAATTTGGCAAGGAATTGGAAAGTACAACGGGGCATGGCTGGTCAGCTCTCATCCAGCCATAGACCCGAGGCATCCTTCCACGATAGAGTGAGAGGAGATGCTGTTTACAATTCAAGGATTATCTCTTCAGACAATAACTTTTTCCCTCACACTACCAATACCGTAATTGAATAATCTGATTATAAGGATGCAAGCAGTTCAAATGTTTAGGTATTGTTAACTTGTAGTCATAACCGGAATGATCAATGCACTGATTGATTTCTCCATCTTCAGACTGATGTTTGCGTGCATTCACTCTCCTCTGGAATGTTCTTCTGTGTGTCACTGTGTGAGGTGTACAGCCCTGCGAACGTCACACCTACCACAGAAGTAAGGCTTGTATTTTTTCTACACTAGTGCCAATGCTACAATAGTTTTTGTAGGGGGTCTGTATATCCTGTTGTCACAATGAACCTCAGAGCACATTAGTACACAGCAGAGTCAGACAACTGCAACTGCTGGATCGTCAAAAGGACTGATTTGATGATGGAAGTGAGATGGGCATCAAATATCCACTTGAATCTATCATCAGAATCCCCTGGTCCAATGACATCCTTCCGCAATACGTATTCAGGATAATCATTTGTGGAGATGGAGATGATAAACTGGTGCTATAGTCACAGTTGAGAGACACATCTTCCCCTTCATAATCAGTCTCTTTTCTCTTTGACTGAGTAACACTGTCTGCTCCTCTGCACTCTGGAAACAAAGAATAATACTGTTATAGTGTGGACACTATATAAATAATTCCCACTGAATAGGTGGTGTACTTAACTGCAGTATAGTATTATTGCTATTCATGGGATTATGGTTATTATGGACATTGGTGTTGACCGTGACCTTTACCCTCCTATGATGTCATCACCCAGAGCTGGCACAGTATTAACGGGACACTACCTCATGTTGCGTTGGGTATATTGCTCTCCTTTTTTCTACTGTTTGTACATGGCTGTAACCCTTTATTTTGTAGTTTGCAAGTAAAGGCAATGAACATTGAAACTCGTGTGGATAATCCTCGTAAAGTTACCACAAATACCTTTGTGAACAATGTCAGGATTCCAGTAACATCAGAGTATTGAGAAAAAGATCATGAGAACAGTATCCTCCCAAAGAAAAGTGCAGCAAGAACAACAGAGGTCCACAGCCAATATACTTATCATAGGATACAAAGACCAAGACAAACTGATGTTACAATATAGAAACTGGTGTGCTCTCTTGATTCCTGTCTTTGTAGCAGCACAGGCCTAGACCATGCAGCACAGCACAGAGGGGATGTTCAAATATACAAGTCATTTCAGAGTAGAAAGCAACACTCACTTGGTACTGTGTCCCCCCTGTTGTTGATGCTGGCTTTTCCATTACTCTGTACACAACACAGTATTGCATTTTCTAAATTCATCTTGTAACACTGGGCCTATTCTATAAGAAAACAAAACAAATGGTCTATTTTCAAATCCATGATATATTGTAATAGGATTGTAATGTCTCTTACATCTACATTTAGAGATTTATTGTGAGAGGTAGCTTTATTGTCATCCAAAATGACTTACTGCATCATCATCATCATCATCATCATCATCATCATCAGTCATCATCAGTCATCATCATCATCATCACTATGATTATCATCATCTGCTACCACTAGTCTTGTTAGTATCAGGGAGGTAGTGAGAAGGTTACTATGTCAATTTCAAAGTGGTGTTGTATACTGTACAGACAGGTGTATTGTCATTGTGTAGCTCAGTATGTTTTTGTAAGGGGGCTGTATATCCTGTTGTCAAAGTGGGCTTCAGAGCACAGTAGTACACAGCAGAGTCAGACATCTGCACCCTCTGGATCGTCAAGGGGACTGATTTGGAGTCTGTATCGAGGTGGGCATCAAATCTATCCTCAAAATCAGTGCCATTTATACTTCCAAAAGAAGAACGGCCCAGCATAAACCTCGGGAAGTCATTTGCTTCATACTTGTACCAGAACAGATTTAGACTTGTAGAAACTGAAGTCTCAAATTGACAGTCCAATGTGATCTGTCCTCCCTCAGTAGTGATCACATCTCCTGGTGGCTGAGTGACTGTGTCTTCTCCTCTGCATTCTGGAAAAGGACACACATTTGTATTAGGGGAGAGAGAAGATAAGCAATATGATAGCGGGAATTAAAATGTATAAAATTAGTAGGAGTATTATAAAACTGAAAGATATATTTGAAAGCATAAAGGGCTTGGAGCAAAGGCAGTAAACAAATAAGGAAAGTAATATTATTTTACCATAAAACAATGTAGCAAGAACCAGTAAATTCCTCAGCCAGGGTTCCATACTTGCTACTGTGAGATCAGTGGGAGAAGAGTAATACCACTCTGATGTAACTAGACCATGATGAGACTATGAACTCCTTGTCTCCTCCTCTTTCTGTGTATCGTCAAACATTGAGAAGCTTGTGACATTGTCTGAACAACACTCTACCCTGAGTTTTTGTACAGTGACTGAATCTCCTGTTGTCACAGTGGGCTTCAGAGCACAGTAGTACACAGCAGAGTCAGATAGCTGCAACCTCTGGATCATCAAGGGGACAGAGCTAGATGTGAAATTCAGCCTGGAATCAAACCTCTCTTTGAACTCATCACTATCGCTCCCTTCTGAATAACGATCTCTTCTCAGGACATACTGAGGAGAGTCCCTAGTTAACTGGATGTACCAGAAGAGATCAGGAGATGGACTACTGGTAGTGTAGTTACAGCTGAGTGTTACCAGTCCTCCTTCAAGGGCAGTAACATGTCCACTCTGCTGGTCAACGGCCTCTTCACCTTTGCAATCTGAAAAAAAATATTTGGGGTTTATAATACATAATAGTCTAAGGTTCAGAGAATGAGAATGTAGAAAGGAGAAGCACTATACTGTACCAAAATAGCATGTAGCCAGGATAAGTACAGTATTCCTAAGCGAAGGGGCCATTATGATTCATGTATAGAGGAAGAATAGACTGTTATAGACTGTATCTGAGAAGTCTCATAATTGTAGGGCTCTGCAGCAGGGGTGGAGCTAATTGTATATTCAATTTAGTTGAACTACTAGAGGGATTCCATGTGAAATGCTGCCCTTCTCAGGTTGATTTAGTTTGATATGCTAATTGTGGGGGAAATTATACCACAACGACACCTGTAAAGTGTTGACATGCTGCATGCATCATTTAATTCTCTAGAGTCTAAGAGGTTGGGGACGGGTGTTATAAATTGACATATGTAATTATTTTTAAATGGTCATACCATGGATCATTTAGCTATTTGAATGGTTATTTTATGACCTCTTTAGGTATAAAAAAAGATATAACAAAATGATTTGATAAAATATAGAATTTGGCCTTACTACCAAATCCCATAGAAACGCATTGAATAACACAGTCATAAATAACAAGAAATGACATTCAAAAAATAAATCATACGGAAAAAGGTTTTAAGTGTATGTTCTATATTTAGGAGATATAAGAAAGCCCAGGAAATATACATATATATATTAAAAATTACACATATTTAACCCCTTAAATTATCCATCATGTTCGTGAGAGTCTCCCCTTTTCACAGTGGGGTCACATTAGTTTGTAGCCCAAACGGTGCACATTTTTCTAGTCCAAACCGTTCGGACGCTACAGACGTTTTTGTGAGAAGACCGATTTTCGGGATGTCACATGGTTTGACAAACACCGCTGTAGCTTGGCCACCTTCCACCACAGATGCGCCATATGCTGATGTGGTGGATTGAGACGCAGCCCATGCAAAAAAAACAGATATTTCTAGCTTAAAGGAATAGAAGCAAACTGATAAGACTCCAATGACACCTATTGACTCTCACTAGTAACTTACCCTTGAAAATACAAGCAATGTCAAGGTTTCACCTTGTTGGGCAGAATGTTGAACACTAGATGGAAGTATTGTATCATTATTAGACATAGAAAAACCTTGTCACTGGACATCATAACTGTGGAGGGCAGTCTACAGGAGGAGCACAGACAAAGAAGATCTGTCATATAACTGATCAGGAGGCAGAGAGAACATCTCAGTGGTTGTGGCTGAAGAATGAGAAGCAGTGGACAAGCCACCTGGCTCACTTGGGCCTGATCAACCCATCCTTCAGAAGGTGTTGTGGGCAGCACATGTAGGATAAGAAGGTACCTCACCTGAAGATCAGACAGGAGATGCAGAAATGGCTGTTTGTGGGTAAATATAAAGAAAACCCTTTATGCTCTACTTTGCGGACAACATTTAAATGGTGAGGAGGTTTTAAGAATAAAGACACTACATCCTCACATTAATAATGAATTATTATACATGTGCAAATTTTAATTACTTTTCCTATCTAGTGACCCAGACCAAAATAGCCTTTTTGTGTTTGTCTGGTCCGATACCAGTCAGTTGGCTCCAGGTAAACTCCTCTAAAGGGTGCAGTACATGGATTTACCACCAGAGGACCAAACCACAGAGTAGGTCCATGTTGAGAGCAATGATGTCATATAATGTATGCATACTGTTTGTAGATGATGTGGTTAAAAGGTCTGACTGTAGCAGAATAGGAATATGCATCAAATTGACAAAATCTATCAATGCTCAAATCAAATTAAGGACAGGCGAAACATTCGAGTCATAGGCTTTATTTATAGGAGACGTTAACATCATTTGATGTCTAAACAGTATGGGTTAGACACAAGTAAAAAAAATAAACCAGATAAATTTCTGCCGATGTGGTCCCTGCTGAGTTTTGTTTTACAGTGTGTGTAGGTTTCCTGTCACTGTGGGCCTCACAGCATAGTAGTACAGAACAGAGTCTGTCACTTCAGCAGAGGAGATCTCCAGATACAAATGTTTTTTCTCATCATTGAGTTTCACAAATATTCGAGTGGTCAAAGGATCTGCTTTCTTTATAAACCCTGAACCTGAGATGTACAAGAGGAACTCTGGCCTTTGTGCTGTGTCTTGGTGATAACAATATAATTAATCTCCACCAGTAGCTGTTCTGGAGTAGTTGTAAGACAGGGTAACAGGGGTTCCCTCTAAACAATACACACTGACACCTGCATAGAGAATGGTTTTTAAACACACATTTAATTGTTCATGAAAATATATTTGAAGTGGAATTTATTTCAAATGGACAATTATGGCAATGCATTGTATTGAATTGAATTGTACTGTATTGTTTTGTATTGTATTGCCTATCAATAAATATGGTCAGGAACAACACTGAATACAGCAACACCATCTTAGATGAACAGAGACATACTGACAGACAGATCCAAGCGGTCTCTGAAAGTTTCCTCCTGTTTTTATGTTTCTATACTGCTGTTCAGCCCATTCTCTGCCATAAGTCTCTCTCCTTAACATACAGTAGGTATGTTACTTAAGTACTGTATGCTGTACAATATGTCTGTTTCCTCCCATGGTTCACTGTGGTCTTCATGGCACATTAGTACAGAGCAGAGTATGTCACTTCAGCAGAGGAGTTATTCAGATCAGCACGTTTGGTCTCTGTATCAATATAACCTAACAGAATAGCAGGCGACCAATTCTCTTGGAGGTCTGTATCTATCATCCATAGAAGGAATGTTGGCATTTTCCCAGCACTGGTTTGATGATCCCAGTAGAATATTTTTCCAATTGTAGAACTTGAGGAGCAGTTATAGGACAGGGTGACAGTGGTTCCCTCCAAGACATGCCCTTAATTTCTCAAATGAGCAATAGCATTCTCAAAACTGTAATCTGTATTTTTTTAAACGTGTAGTTGTAGTGCATATGTTAATGAATGAATGATTTTTTATGCATGCTTATCAGTTAAGTGTCACTTACCTACAAATGTGCATAGCAGCAGCACTGCATACAGAAACGTAATCTTGGCTATCTCTGAATATTTACTCCTCTGTTGCCTTGACGTATCTTACTTCATTTCTGCTTACTGTAGCTCCTCCTCTTCTCATTGGTTTCTTGCCAAGGCACTTGACAGGTTTTTGTACAGTGTGTCTGGGTTTCCTCTCACTGTGGGCGCCATGGCACAGTAGTACAGAGCAGAGTCTGTCACTTCAGCAGAGGAGATCTTCAGATCCACACGTTTGTCCACTTTGTCGATGGTAACGGTCAGACGAGGATGTGGGGGAGTAGCTTTAAATATAGACCCCTCTGGTGTGATGTACAAGAGGAATTCTGGTTTGGATCTGGGATATTGGCGGTACCACTGTAGATTGTAGACAGTGCCATCATGTTTGCAGGAGAGATGTACATTCCTTCCCTCCTGAACAAGCTCTTTAGTTGTCGCAGGTTTTATTGAATCCCCAAAACTGTTTCCTGCAAAAAATGTAACAGTAAAAATTGTAGTTGTAACTGACGTTTAACAAATGTTCCATAACTGTTAAAAATATAAAATTAACATCTACGATATTATTGTACTAATATAAGTGTTATGGATTAAAATATATTCTTCATTCACTGTCAAATTAAATTCACAGATGAGAGCAAGGCTTATTCCACATAATAACTCACCTAAACAAGCTGAAAAGAAAACTAATGAGAAGAGTAACATCTTGTTGGACCTTTGAGAAACAGACAGACAGACAGACAGACAGACATACATCACTGAGAGACCTGACTGACTAGCCACTTCCTGAACAATAACATCCCATATGCTACATCTGGATCTTTGATTATACAGCCCCACCTTTTAACACCACTGTGAAATGTTTTCCGTTGTGTCTTTCTTTCTACAGTATATGTTGTCAGGTTTTTGTAGTGTTTCTGGGTTTCCTGTCACTGGGGTCCTCAGAGCACAGTAGTACAGAGCAGAGTCTGTCACTTCAGCAGAGGAGGTCTCCAGATCCACACAGGTTCTCTCCTTGTTCAGTGTAACAGACAGTCAAAAGTATTGTGGATCACCTCTCACTTCATATGACTTATTGGTAGGAATTGGAGACCTGATCCAGAGTACTGTCTGTACCACAGCAGACTATCTGCTATTACTGTATAGTTACAGGAGAGCTTAACTCTGCTACCGTCTAAATAATTATCTTCAGGGTTGGTTGGAGTGATATCATCCTCTAAAGCATCACTTGTGAAGGAGACGAAAATAAGCATGAGACTAAATATCAAAACCTCTTATTTTATATTTGAAGCAGCCCAATATTTACGAATGAAATAATGCCAGACAGTGTGGAAATGACTTTACATAAAACCTTACTTACCAACAAGTGGTGAAAACAGTAAGATTGAAGTGAGCAACATCATGGTGTGTGTGACAGAAAATGCAGCTACAGGACAGGGTTTATCTCAACTGTCTGATATGCAGTGTATTGTGATATGTGATATGCAGTGTACTGTGATCTGCAGGATGTGATATGTGATATGTACTGTTTGGCTGCTGTCTGTCTGCCCTGCAACTACCTCCACTGTCAGGAGGAGGAGCCACCTGCTCATAGAAATAGAGGTTTGTGTAGTGTTGAGGTGAGGCCCTCTACAGAAGATAGGGAGTTATACTGTATATCTTGTTGATTTAAATGGTGTTGATTGGGGTGAAGAAGGACTGATAATGTGGACTTCTTTAAGCGTTAAGGTGTTGTCAACCTGAGTTGGAATTGACAGATAATAATTAGATCTGAAACAGTTCACAACAAGGATTGTTATCCACTGCTTCTGTACAGTTGTTATACAGTGTGTTTGGGTTTCCTGTCACTGTGGATCTCAGGGCACAGCAGAGGAGATGTCCAGATCCACACAGGTTCTCTCTTTATTCAGATTAACAGAGAGTCGGGGGTCTTCAGGTTTAGCTCTTATTACAGAGGGCTTTGAGGTGACTGTAGTGTAGAAGAGGAGTTGGTATGCTGATCCAGAGTACTGTCTGTGCCAGAGCAGAAAGTCTGATTTTACTATATAGTAACAGGAGAGCTTAACTCTGCTACCCTCTAAATAATACTCCTCAGGGCTGGTTGGAGTGATGTCATTCTCTAAAGTATCACCAACAAGGGCTGAAATCAGTAGAATGTAACAGAGTAGCATCATGGTCTATGTTAGAGTTTAGAAATGAATGTGTTATTTAGAAAACAGCAAAACACTGCTATGACTTGATAAGTAGGCATATACAATGTTGCTCCTCCTCTTTACATAGGTTTTTAAACACACCCACCAGGTTTCCTGTTAAAAAGAAAAATCTTGAGATGCACCATCTCCTGTCGGTCATGTCATGTAACTATAGACTGTGTCAGGTTAGGTTTTTGTACAGCGTATGTAGGTTTCCTTTCACTGTGGGCTGCAGGGCACAGTAGTACATAGCAGAGTCTTTCTCTTTAGCAGAGGAGATCTCCAGATCCACACGGGTCTTCTCATCATTTAGTTTGACTGACAGTCTAGGATCCAGACCTGGAGCCCGTGATGGAGACCCAACACCATGCAGGATAAGCAGGATATACTGAGGAGCTGATCCAGGGTCCTGGAGATACCATTGAAGAGACACTGCAGATGAGTAGGTGCATGAAAGTGTAATATTGCTACCTGCTGGAACATACACCTCCTCTCTGGTTGGCTCAATGGTCTGACCATTACTGTCACCTGCAAGAGACGCAAAATATGTTATTCTTCTATTATTACTCTGTTATAGATCTATTTTCAATGCATAAAATCTTTGTTTCGATTCAACATAAAACTTTTTTTTTTTTACGGATTATAGTAGATTACTTACATGCAAATACTAAAAGCAAAATAAATGTCGGGGTTGACATTGTGGCTGAAACTGGAAGTTAAAATGATAACACACAGCACAACAAGATTTGTGTATACTAAAAAAACATCCTCCTCCTTCTAGTTTTGAATGGACCATCTGTTCTCAAACCTTTGAAGCCCCACCCCAAAATACCGAGAGTTGTCAGATCAGCAGAAGTAACAGCAGACTTCTTGCTGCTGCTTGATGCCACTGTCACACCCTCAAAATGCAGGGCTGCACTGAGATATGATTACCTTAGTCTCCCTCTGTTGGATATTGTATAAAACTGTGTTATTTATCTCCATTTATTTTCTTGATTTTAGGGCAACAGAGTTGTTTGATGCAAGATCTGCATTCATTTATTCAACATGAGGCGTTCATTCATTAATAGTTTATTTTATTTTCTTATTTAAATCTAGAATCTAAAGTATATACAAGCAACACAATCAGATAGCCTTAATACATTTCTGTCACTTTTCCATATTATATTAATTTTTAGTGTTCATTGAAAATCTTTCATTGCTCATTTTCTGTGTATGTGTGTTATGTCTATGCAAGGTAATGTTGAAATAGAAAATGAGGGGGTATCTAGGGGATGTCAGTTTTCTTTCCAGGTGTTTTTACAGTGTGCACAGGTTTCCTGTCACTGTAGGCTGCAGGGCACAGTAATACAGAGCAGAGTCAGACAGCTGCACCCTCCAGATCATCAAGGGGACTGATTGTGTCTTGGCATTTAGACTTGCATCAAACCTCTCCTTGAACCCTGCAGCCTTGTCTCCAGATCCAAAATATTAACGACTCAGCATATGTTTAGGGAAGTCATTTGCTTCTTGTTTGTACCAATATAGATATGCATTATTAGCACTGGCGTTATAATGACAACTCAGTGTTACCAGTCCTCTTTCTGTAGCAATCACACCTCCTGGTTGCTGTTGCACATTATCTCCTGTGCACTCTAGGAAAAAAGAAAGACTGAGTGATAATTTTAAGATGATAGAATTATAAAACTATAGGTCAAATTAGTTTAAGATGAGATAAACCAATGAGAGAAAAGGTTCCTTCATACCGAAGCACAATACAGCAAGAACCAGCCAGATGATCAGACAAAGTACCATGGTTATGCAGAACACACAGAGAGTGACTGTGAGTTACAGTAAGAGGTAGAGATCCTCTCTCTCTCTTCCATGTCCATCTCAGCCTGTATATCACCATCAACTGACAGACATGAAGGAGGAGCCTGTTCACAGAGAGGAAAGATTGTATAAAAATGTATGAGTCAATATTGTGTCCGGCAATATTAGACATTCCCACTCTCTGCAGTACATTAGACAAAGTGAAAAGTTTCATCTTGCTCACATGAAATCGAAAGTAGCTTAAAGCAATTGTCAATTAAATAAATGTGAGTATGACAAACATATATATATATTTCTTGTTTGAAAAGGTGCAGTTATTCTATTATAATTCAGGTACAAACACTCATGGAGCCTACAGAGTATCAAATTCAGGTCTACTACTGTACATAAAGTACACTGCTCAAAAAAATAAAGGGAACACTAAAATAACACATCCTAGATCTGAATGAATGAAATAATCTTATTAAATACTTTTTTCTTTACCTAGTTGAATGTGCTGACAACAAAATCACACAAAAATTATCAATGGAAATCAAATTTATCAACCCATGGAGGTCTGGATTTGGAGTCACCCTCAAAATTAAAGTGGAAAACCACACTACAGGCTGATCCAACTTTGATGTAATGTCCTTAAAACAAGTCAAAATGAGGCTCAGTAGTGTGTGTGGCCTCCACGTGCCTGTATGACCTCCCTACAACGCCTGGGCATGCTCCTGATGAGGTGGCGGATGGTCTCCTGAGGGATCTCCTCCCAGACCTGGACTAAAGCATCCGCCAACTCCTGGACAGTCTGTGGTGCAACGTGGCGTTGGTGGGTGGAGCGAGACATGATGTCCCAGATGTGCTCAATTGGATTCAGGTCTGGGGAACGGGCGGGCCAGTCCATAGCATCAATGCCTTCCTCTTGCAGGAACTGCTGACACACTCCAGCCACATGAGGTCTAGCATTGTCTTGCATTAGGAGGAACCCAGGGCCAACCGCACCAGCATATGGTCTCACAAGGGGTCTGAGGATCTCATCTCGGTACCTAATGGCAGTCAGGCTACCTCTGGCGAGCACATGGAGGGCTGTGCGGCCCCCCAAAGAAATGCCACCCCACACCATGACTGACCCACCGCCAAACCGGTCATGCTGGAGGATGTTGCAGGCAGCAGAACGTTCTCCACGGCGTCTGTCACGTCTGTCACGTGCTCAGTGTGAACCTGCTTTCATCTGTGAAGAGCACAGGGCGCCAGTGGCGATTTTGCCAATCTTGGTGTTCTCTGGCAAATGCCAAACGTCCTGCACGGTGTTGGGCTCTAAGCACAACCCCCACCTGTGGACGTCGGGCCCTCATACCACCCTCATGGAGTCTGTTTCTGACCGTTTGAGCAGACACATGCACATTTGTGGCCTGCTGGAGGTCATTTTGCAGGGCTCTGGCAGTGCTCCTCCTGCTCCTCCTTGCACAAAGGCGGAGGTAGCAGTCCTGCTGCTGGGTTGTTGCCCTCCTACGGCCTCCTCCACATCTCCTGATGTACTGGCCTGTCTCATGGTAGCGCCTCCATGCTCTGGACACTACGCTGACAGACACAGCAAACCTTCTTGCCACAGCTCGCATTGATGTGCCATCCTGGATGAGCTGCACTACCTGAGCCACTTGTGTGGGTTGTAGACTACGTCTCATGCTACCACCAGAGAGAAAGCACTGCCAGCATTCAAAAGTGACCAAAACATCAGCCAGGAAGCATAGGAACTGAGAAGTGGTCTGTGGTCACCACCTGCAAAACCAGTCCTTTATTGGGGGTGTCTTGCTAATTGCCTATAATTTCCACCTGTTGTCTATTCCATTTGCACAACAGCATGTGAAATTTATTGTCAATCAGTGTTGCTTCCTAAGTGGACAGTTTGATTTCACAGAAGTGTGATTGACTTGGAGTTACATTGTGTTGTTTAAGTGTTCACAAATTTTTTTGAGCAGTGTATATTGACATTTTTGATTTGGGTCCCAACTTTTAATTGGTACTGTATGTTTCTATGGACACATGTGAACCAAATAGTTTTTGTAAGGGGGCTGTATCTCCTGTTGTCACAGTGGGCCTCAGAGCACAGTAGTACACAGCAGAGTCAGACAGCTGCAACCTCTGGATAGTCAAGGGGACTGATTTTGCTGTGACATTCAGACGGGCATCAAATCTCTCCTTGAACTCAGTAGTACTGTCTCCAGGTGAAAACGTATCCCTTCTCAGCATAAACATGGGGTTGCTATTTGCTTGTTGTTTGTACCAAAAGAGATATGGTGATTGATCAGTTGTATCGAATAGATAAGTGAGTGTTGTTGGTTGTCCTTCTAAGACCATTACATCTTCTGTTGGCTGTGTTACATTCTCTTCTGCTCTGCACCCTGAAAAGAAAGATAAATATATAAATATATCTTCACAACATATAATAATAATGTATCTAAATAAAATGAACAAATGCACAGAAAGAGACAGATGAACAGAGTGATGTTATACCAAAGCAGCATGCAGCCAGAACATGCAGGATCAGCCAGTTTCTCATGACTAGTCAGTCAGTTTGAAGTGTAAAAGATAAGGAGCAGAACAATGCTGATCTATCTATCACAGAGCTTCATGTTGTTCTGTATTACATGCAGTAGTAGACTATGGGGAGGTGTCTGTCTGTATGGCATCCTCTGATTCAGGTGTGTGTGCTTTGTTAGGTTGCCCCCTTCAGGTTGACTTTCATACTACACCACCAAAATCAAATCAAATTTATTTGCCACATGCGCCGAATACAACAGATCTTTGTTTCGATACAGTGAAATGCTTACTTACAAGCCCTCAACCAACAATGCAGTTTTAAGATTAAAAGTGTTAAGTAAAAAATAGATAAGTAAAAAATTAAATTAAAAAATCATTAAAGAGCACCAGTAAAATAAAATAACAGTGCGGAGGCTATATACAGGGGTTACCGGTACAGAGTCAATGCGCGGGGGCACTGGTTAGTTGAAGTAATTGAGGTAATATGTACATGTGGGTAGAGTTAAAGTGACTATGCTTAGATAATAAACAGAGCAGCAGCAGCATAAAAGATGGGGTGGGGTGGGGTTGACAATGCAAATAGTCTGGGTAGCCATGATTAGCTGTTCAGGAGTCTCATGGCTTGGGGGTAGAAGCTGTTAAGAAGCCATTTGGACCTAGATTTCGCGCTCCAGTACCGGGTGGCTGGAGTCTTTGACAATTTTTAATGCCTTCCTCTGACACCGCCTGGTATATAGGTCCTGGATGGCAGGAAGCTTGGCCTCAGTGATGTACTGGGCTGTACGCACTACCCTCTGTAGCGCCTTGCGGTCGGAGGCCTGCAGTTGCCATACCAGGCAGTGATGCAACCAATCAGGATGCTCTCGATGGCGCAGCTGTATAACTTTTTGAGGATCTGAGGACCCATGCCAAATCTTTTCAGTCTCCTTAGGGGGAATAGGGGGAATATTCTTTGTCGTGCCCTCTTCACATCTGTCTTGGTGTGTTTGGACCATGATAGTTTGTTGGTGATGTGGACACCAAGGAACTTGAAGCTCTTAACCTGTTCCATTACAGCCCAAGCTGTGTGAATTGTGAGGAGGAGTAACTACAAACAATAACATTGTTGTACTTTGTCATATTCCCAAGTGCTTTTCCAACCAATATTAAAATACCTGTCTAACTGAAATTGAAGACTAGAAGAGTGACAAATACATCTTTCTCACAGTTCATTGAATATGAAGACAGAGACACACTTGACAACCTGGTGATTGCACACAGCACAGGTGTGACCACACCTATCTGATCTCAACCTCTGCCATTATGATATCACATTGTGGTTTGATGTTTAATTATGTTCCACACAGCAACAAAGCATTTTTGGTATGCAGGTTTTTGTACGGCGTCTTATACACTTTGTATCACTGGGTATAATCCCTAAGAGCACAGTAGTAGAGAGCTGTGTCTGCCAGGGTTAGGCTTGTTATAACCAGTTCAGTTGATGTCCAGGATGTTGTGGATTTATATCTCTTATCAGGGATACGATCACCGCTGTATGATCTGGCACCTTTATACAGTAGAAACTGAGGAGCCTGGTTAGAATAATGCCGGTACCAGGAAAGGTAAATATAATCGCTGCTTGTTTCATATGTACAGCTCAGAGTCACTGATGATCCCTCAGTAGGGGTGTACTCCTCCTTGTCAGGAGTCACACTATCTCCAGATACCATTCCTGCAGAGGAAATATAGATAGTAAAGCTGATTGGAAACTCATGCTTATTATTCACATTTAAGTTACTTTACTTCATAAATAAATGTTTTCCTACCAATACCATAAGAATAATCTGATTATAAGGATGGAAGGAGTTCAAATGTTTAGGTATTGTTTACCTGTAGTCATAATCAGAATGATCAATACACTGATTGATTTCTCCATCTTCAGGCTGATGTTTGCATGCATTCACTCTCCTCTGAAATGTTCTTCTGTGTGTCACTGTGTGAGGTGTACTGCCCGGGTTACGTCACACCCACCACATAAGTATCATAAGTTATCATCAAAATCCCCTGGTCCAATGACATCTTTCCACAAAACACATTCAGGGTAATTGTTTGTGGATTGAACGTACCAGAAGAGAAATGGAGCTGATAAGCTGGTGTTATAGTGACAGTTGAGAGATGTGTCTTCTCCTTCATAAGCAGTCACTTCTCTCTATGACTGAGTTACACTGTCTGCTCCTCTGCACTCTGGAAACAAAGAAAAATACCTTTGTGAAAAATGTCAGGATTCCAGTAACATCAGAGTATTGAGAAAAAGATAATGAGAGCCGTATCCTACCAAAGAGAAGTGCAGCAAGAACAACAGAGGTACACAGCCAATGTCCCATACTTATCATAGGATACAAAGACCAAGACAAACTGATGTTACAATATAGAAACTGGTGTGCTCTCTTGATTCCGGTCTTTGTGGCAGCACAGGCCTAGACCATGCAGCACAGCACAGAGACAAGTCAAATAGACAAGTCATTTCAGAGTAGAAAGCAACACTCACTTGGTACTGTGGCCCCCTTGTGGTTGATGCTGGCTTTTACATTAATCTACACAATACTGAGTATAACTTTTTTCTCCTGAATTAATCTAGTCAGACACTACTAGCTGTATATGTTCTAATCCATGAGATATGTTAATGGAATTGTTATTTCTCTTACATCTACAATTAGAGCTGAATTGGAAGAGGGACCTTTATCCGCTCCTGAGTGGCGCAGTGGTCTAAGGCACTGCATCGCAGTGTTAACTGTGCCACTAGAGATCCTGGTTCGAATCCAGGCTCTGTCGCAGCCGGCCGCGACCGGGAGACTCATGGGCGGCGCACAATTGGCCCAGCGTCGTCCAGGGTAGGGGAGGGAATGGCCGGCAGGGATGTAGCTCAGTTGATAGAGCATGGCGTTTGCAACGCCAGGGTTGTGGGTTTGATTCCCACGGGGGGCCAGTATAAAAAAAAAAAAGATGTATTCACTAACTGTAAGTCGCTCTGGATAAGAGCGTCTGCTAAATGACTCAAAATGTAAATGTAAAAAAATATTGGCATCAACAATGACTTACCGTATAATAATCATCATCATCATCACTATGATTATCATCATGTGCTACCACTAGTCTTGGTAGTATCAGGGAGGTAGTGAGAAGTTTGCTGTGTCAATTTCAAAGTGGTGTTGTATACTGTACAGACAGGTGTATTGTCATTGTGTAGCTCAGTATGTTTTTGTAAGGGGGCTGTATATACTGTTGTCACAGTGGGCTTCAGAGCACAGTAGTACACAGCAGAGTCAGACAGCTGCACCCTCTGGATCGTCAAGGGGACTGATTTGGAGTCTTTGTCTAGATGGGCATCAAATCTCTCCTTGAACTAAGTGGCATTTGCACTTCCAAAAGGAAAGCGTCCCAGCATGAACTTTGGGAAGCCATTTACTTCATGCTTGTACTAGAACAGATAGAGATTATTAATATTAACTGCATCAAATTGACAGCCCAGTGTGACCTGTTCTCCCTCAGTAGCAGTCGTATCTCCTGGTGGCTGAGTGACTGTGTCTTCTCCTCTGCATTCTGGAAAAGGAATGAGAAAAGTATCAAGCAACATGATATACATTTTAAATTCATTCATTTAGTAGACTTATCCAGAGCGACTTACAGTAGAGAGTGCATACATTTTTGTACTTTTTCATACTGGTCCCCCGTGGGAATCTAACCCACAACACTGGTGTTGCAATCACCATCCTCTATAACTGAGCCACACGGGACCACACATGATAGAATATATAAAGACATATGAAATGAATACTGGTAGTGTTATACTGAAAAATATGTTTGAAAAAGAAAAGGATGGGAGCAAAAGGCAGTAAACGAATTTGGAACATAATATTATCATACCATAACAACATGCAGCAAGAATCAGTAAATTCCTCAGCCAGGGTTCCATGCCTACAGTGAGATTGGTTGGAGAAGAGTAAAACACACTGATGTATGCCACATGTGACATAAGACTATGAAATCATTGTCTCCTCCTCTTTCAGTGTATCATCAAACATTGAGAAGCTTGTGACATTGTCTTAATAACACTCTACCCTGAGTTTTTGTGCAGTGACTGAATCTACTGATGTCTAAGTAGACCTCAGAGCACAGTAGTACAAAGCAGAGTCAGATGGCTGCAACCTATGGATCGTCAAGGGGACAGAGCTAGATGTGAAATTCAGCCTGGAATCAAACCTCTTCTTGAACTCATCACTTTTGCTCCCTTCTGAATAACGATCTCTTCTCAGGACATACTGAGGAGAGTCCCTAGTTAACTGGATGTACCAGAAGAGATTAGGAGATGGACTACTGGTAGTGAGTGTTACCAGTCCTCCTTCAAGGGTAGCAACATGTCCACTCTGCTGGTCAACAGCCTCTTCACCTCTGCAATCTGAAAAAAATATATTTGGGGTTTTATAATACATAATAGGCTAAGGTTCAGAGAATGAGAATGTAGAAAGGAGAAGCACTATACTGTACCAAAATATCATGCAGCCAGGATAAGTACAGTATTCCTAAGCCAGTGTGCCATTATGATTCATGTATAGAGGAAGAATAGACTGTTACAGATTTTATATTTTATCCACTGTAGCTGAGAAGTCTCATAATTGTGGGGCTCTGCAGCAGGGGAGAAGCTAAATGTATATTCAATTTAGTTGAAATGCTAGAAGGATTCCCTTTGAAATGCTGCCCTTCTCAGGTTGATTTAGTTTGACATGCTAATTGTGGGGGAAATTATACCACAACGACACCTGTAAAGTGTTGACATGCTGCATGCATCATTTAAAAGGTTGGGGGCGGGTGTTATAAATTGACATATGTAATTATTTTAAGATGGTCATACCATGGATCATTTAGCTATTTGATTTGGAAGTTTAGGACCCCTTTAGGTATAAAAAAACATAACAAAATGATTTGCCTTTACTACCAAATCCCATAGAAACGCATTGAATAACACAGTCATAAATGACAAGAAATGACATTCAAAAAATAAATCACACGGAATAAGGTTAAGTGTCAGTTCTAGATCTAGGAGATATAAGCAAGCTCAGGAAAAACACATATTTAACCCCTTAAATTATCCATCATGTTTGTGAGAATCTCCCCTTTTCACAGTGGGGTCACAGTAGTTTGTAGCCCAAACGGTGCGTACACTACATACGTATTCGTGAGAGTCTCATCTTTCAATAGAGTGGTCATATCATTTTTCTAGTCCAAACCGTACAGACGTTTTTGTGAGAAGACCGATTTTCGTGATGTCACATGGTTTGACAAACACCGCTGAAACTCGGCCACCTTCCACCACAGATGCGAAAGACCGCCATAGCCTGATGCGGTGGATTGAGATGCAGCCCATGCAAATTATATTTATAGCTTAAAGGAATAGAAGCAAACTGATAAGACTCCACTGACACCTATTGACTCTCACTAGTAACTTACCCTTGAAAATACAAGCAATGTCAAGGTTTCACCTTGTTGGGCAGAATGTTGAACACTAGATGAAACTATTGTATCATTATTATACATAGAAAAACCTTGTCACTGGACTTCATAACTGTGGAGGGCAGTCTACAGGAGGAGCAGAGACAAAGAAGAAATGTCACATAACTGATCAGGAGGCAGAGAGAACATCTCAGTTATTGTGGCTGAAGAGTGAGAAGCAGTGGATAAGAAACTTGGCTCACTTTGGCCTGATCAACCCATCCTTCAGAAGGTGTAGTGGGCAGCACATGTAGGATAAGAAGGTACCTCACCTGAAGATCAGCCAGGAGCTGCGGAAACGGCTGTTTGTGGGTAAATATAAAGAAAACCCTTCATAATTTTTAGTCGCTCTTCAACAGTTTGATACACATTTCAATGATAACAAATTGTAGTGTTTTCGGCACTGGGTTCTTTGTAAGGCCGGTTTTACACATACAAACACACAACACTAGTCCAAGTGAAGGGTTATACCGGATTATTAATATCAAGCTTTGACAGCGTTGTTGATATACAAAACCCAAAACAAACAAAGTAAACACTTCACCACCAGTGGAAGGTCCTCCAAGCTTTGTCTTTGGGGGTTCAATCCTTATTGAAATCATAATTTCCTTTCTTCTATAAAACCTACTTCTCCACCGTACGCTCTGTCTCTCCAATAACCTCCTACTCCTTCACCTGCCGGGGTCAACAAAAAAAACAAAGAAAGAAAACCTAGGGCATGGTTAAGTTTAGTAACTGATTGGTTTCACCTGTCTGCAGTTTGGCTCTGATTACAACTGGAAACAGATGTGTCTGGTCTGCTGCAGACTAGAAGTTCCACTGAGCTGTCTGTGGTCCTGCCTCTGGGGAATACTTCACATTGCTGTCCGTGGTCCTGGCAGCCAAAAAACAAAGGAACCTCGCAGGTACATAACGTCCATCCACAACACAACCCCTGAAACCGCAACAATATTATGAAAATTCATAACGGCTATTGTAAATATTATAATATTTTTCTTACAATCAATCTTACAATCAAAGTTTCACATTTAACCGTTGAGTGTGAATAACAAAATAAAACCACCTTAAGGACAGGTGAAACATTCCAGTCATAGGCTTTATTAATAGGAGACATTAAATCATTCATTAGTGTTTTGATGTCTTCAAAGTAAGGGTTAGAGAAAAGTAAAAAAAATAACCCAGATAAATTCCTGCTGATGTGCTCCCTGCTGAGTGTTTTTTTTACAGTGTGTGTAGGTTTCCTGTCACTGTGGGCCTCACAGCACAGTAGTACAGAGCAGAGTCTGTCACTTCAGCAGAAGAGCTCCCCAGATCCACACAAGTCTTTTCATCATTTATTTTGACTGACAGTCTAGGATCCAGACCTGGAGCCTGTGATGGAGACCCAACACCATGCAGGATAAGCAGGATATACTGAGGAGCTGATCCAGGGTCCTGGAGATACCACTGAAGAAAGACTGCAGATGAGTAGGTGCATGAAAGTGTAATATTGCTACCTGCTGGAGCATACACCTCCTCTCTGGTTGGCTCAATGGTCTGACCATTACTGTCACCTGCAAGAGATGCAAAATATGTTATTCTTCTATTATTACTATTTTCAACGCATCAACACTTAGTTTAGATTCAACATAAAACAATTAAGTAGATTACTTACATGCAAGTACTAAAAGCAAATTAAATGTGGGGATTGACATTGTGGCTGAAACTGGAAGTTAAAATGATAACACACAGCACAACAAGATTTGTGTATACTAAAAAACATCCTCCTCCTTCTAGTTTTGAATGGACCATCTGTTCTCAAACCTTTGAAGCCCCACCCCAAAATACAGAGAGTTGTCAGATGAGCAGAAGTAACAGCAGACTTCTTGCTGCTGCTTGATGCCACTGTCACATCCTCAAAATGCAGGGCTGCACTGAAATATGATTACCTTAGTCTCCCTCTGTTGGATATTGGAAAAAACTCCATTTATTTTCTTGATTTTAGGTCAACAGAGTTGGCAGAAGGATCTGAACTGTCTACTGTGATGTCATAGGGGGAAACATTGCTTGAAGGGAAGATATGTTAGATAATTAATCTATTGAACATGAGGCATTCATTTTCACAGTTTATTTTGGTTTCATATTTCAATCTAGAATCTAAAGTATAAATCAGCAAAACAATCAGATAGCATTATTGGGTTTCTCTCACTTTTCCATTCAAAATTGGAATCAACATATTCTTTTGTTGTTAATTTAAAATATTGAAGTGTTCATTTTCAGTGTAGGTGTGTTTTATCTATACAAGGTAATGATAACATTTAAAATTAGCCTGATGGATTTTTTTCACTTAGGGTATGTCAGTTTTATTCAGTTCAGGTTTTTGTACAGTGTTTCTGGGTTTCCTGTCACTGTGGGCTGCAGGACACAGTAGTACAGAGCAGAGTCTGTCACTTCAGTAGAGGAGATCTCCAGATCCACACGGGTTCTCTCATCATTCAGTTTAACAGACAGCCGTGGGTATGGAGGAGTAGCGTTCACTACAGCGGGGTTTGAGGACACTCCGGTGAGGAGGAGGAAGATGGGAGATGATCCAGGGTACTGTCGATACCATTGGAGATTACTAGCAGAGGAGTAGTTAGAGGACAGCTTTATGACATCACCCTCCAACCCAATCACCTTATCTGTTGTTGGAGTAATGTCATTCCCATGACTGCCACCTGGAAAACATTTATGAAAACAGGAATTATTATCAGGAAATTATCATACAATTCTACTCATTATTCAGTCAAGTGTATTAAAAATTGTCAAAAGATCCTTCACAGGAATATGACTCCAGTCTTCAGTAACTACATTCATAGTGATTGGATATGAAGAACAGCATCAAACTCACCCACTAGTGCAAATATTAAAATTGATCCCAGTATCATTATGGTAAGTGTTATTTAACACAGTGAAAATAGGGAACACAAGTATAGTTATGACAGAATGACTCCCCTGGTTTCTCACTGTCAGCTATGAAAGGTATTTCCTTTCTTCTGCCTCAATTATGTAACACCTCCCCTTGACTTAAAAAATGGCACACAACAAAAAGTTCTGTACACACCCACGTACACACACAGTTTTTTTTTAAAGGGGGCTGTTTATCCTGTTGTCACTGTGGGCCTCAGAGCACAGTAGTACACAGCAGAGTCAGACAGCTGCAACCAATGGATCATCAAGGGGACTGATTGTGTCTTGGCATTTAGACTTTCCTTGAACCCTGCAGCCTTGTCTCCAGATCCAAAAGAATAACGGCTCAGCATATGTTTAGGGAAGTCATTTGCTTCTTGTTTGTACCAATATAGATATGCATTAGTAGCACTGGTGTTATATTGACAGCTCAGTGTTGCCAGTCTTCCTTCTGTAGCAATCACACCTCATGGTTGCTGTTGAACATGGTATCCTGAGCACTCTGGAAGACAAACAAATATAAAGTGAGTGATAATGAAAGATTCAAAAAATTAAAATTAGATAGATGACGAAATGGTTCCATCTTACCAAAGCACAGTACAGCAAGAACCAGCCAGATGATCAGACAGAGTACCATGGTTATGCAGAACACACAGAGAGTGACTGTGAGTTACAGTAAGAGGTAGAGATCCTCTCTCTCTCTTCCATGTCCATCTCAGCCTGTATATCACCATCAACTGACAGACATGAAGGAGGAGCCTGTTCAGAGAGAGGAAATATTGTATAGAAATGTATGGGTCAATATTACCTTGTCAGTATTATATTAGCACTCTTTGCCATACATTAGAGACGAAGTGAAACGACTACGTCTAGTTAAAATAATATGGTAGGTATTGACAATGACATAAATATTGTATGAAGTGAGTATGATTAACTTATTTGAAAATAAATGTTTGAAAACATACACATATTCAATTCATATTCTTCTACTGTATATGCGGGACCAAATAATTCACAACAATATGTCTCCCGTAATCATATGTATAGTTTGAACAGGATCATTTCTGTAGCTCCTCCCTTTGACATAAAACCCATTCAATGATGGCTCTTAAGGAAGTTAGGTGGTAGTGATGAAGGTTCGGTTTACTAAATGAAAGTAAAGATGGCATCAAATGGCATTTATATGCGAGAATATTTAGAACGTTAAGTCATATGACATTTCTGATAGTCATGATATATTTACTTTATTTCCAAATATAAAATGTGGTCACTAGTAGTTGAACAAGCAAATAACTTTCATATTTAAATAAGGGAATATAATGGATGGGAGGTAAGATCTATTCAGACTCAGGTTATAGGGGTCTCAGGTTAGATATAAGCACTCTTTGCAGTACATTAGCCAAAGTGAAAAGCTTACATCTAGCTCACAAGAAATGATAAGTAGCTTAAAGCAATTGTCAATTACATAAATGTTCCGTGAAGTGAGTATGATGAACATATATTTTTTGGAGGTGAATATGTACACAAACTCTATTATAATTCAGGTACAAACACTCATGTAGTCTAAAGAGTATCTAATTCAGGTCTACTACTGTACATAAAGTATATTAAAATACATATTGCGCTTTGGTCCCTACTTTTCATTGGTACTGTATGTGTCTATGGACACATTTGAAACCTATAGTTTTTGTAAGGTGGCTGTATCTCCTGTTGTCACAGTGGACCTCAGAGCACAGAAGTACACAGCAGAGTCAGACAGCTGCACTCTCTGGATCATCAAGGGGACTGATTTTGCTGTGAAATTTAGACGGGCATCAAATCTGTCCTTGAACTCAGTAGCAGCTTCCCCAGGTGAAAATGTATCCCTTCTCAGCATAAATATGGGCTTGCCATTTGCTTGTTGTTTGTACCAAAAGAGATATGGTGATTGACCAGTTGTATCGAATAGACTGTTGTTGGTAGTCCTTCTAAGACCATTACATCTTCTGTTGGCTGTGTTACATTCTCTTCTGCTCTGCACCCTGAAAAGAAAGATAAATATATCTTCACAACATATAATAATAATGTATATAAATAAAATGAACAAATGCACAGAAAGAGACAGATGAACAGAGTGATGTTATACCAAAGCAGCATGCAGCCAGAACATACAGGATCAGCCAGTTTCTCATGACTAGTCAGTCATTTTGAAGTGTAAAAGGTAAGGAGCAGAACAATGCTGATCTATCTATCACAGAGCTTTGACACCCTCTGTCCTACTGTTGATGCTTCATGTTGTTCTGTATTACATGCAGTAGTAGACTATGGGGAGGTGTCTGTCTGTATGGCATCCTCTTATTCAGGTGTGTGTGCTTTGTTAGGTTGCCCCCTTCAGGAGACTGTCATACTACACCACAAAGCAGTGTGAATTGTGAATAGGGACAACTATAAGCAATAACATTGTTACACTGTCATATTCCCGAGTGCTTTTCCAACCACTATTTAAAAAAAACCTGTCTAAGTGGAATTGAAGACTACTGATTGAAGAGTGAAGAATACATATTTCTCACAGTGCGTTGAATAGGAAGACAGACAAACACTAGATTGCACACAGTACAGTTGTGACCGCAATTCTCTGATCTCAACCTCTGCCATTATGATATGAAATTGTGGTTTGACGTTCAAATTTGATCCCCGCTTCATCAAAGCATGTTTGGTGTGCATGTATTTGTACAGCATCTTATACACATTGTATCACTGGGTATAACAATACTGGTCATAACAATCTCTGAGAGCATTGTAGTAGAGAGCTGTGTCTGCCAGGGTTAGACTTGTTATGACCAGTTCAGTTGATGACTGAGATGTTTTGGATGTATGTCTCTTATCAGGGATATGTTCCCAGGTAATTGATCTGGCACCTTTATTCAGTAGAAACTGAGGAGCCTGGTTAGGATATTGCCTGTACCAGTAAAGCAGAAGATAATTGCTGGTTATATCATATGAGCAGCTCAGAGTCACAGGTTTTCCCTCTGTACTCATGACTTCATCCCTTACAGGAGTAATGTGATCCCCAGAAATCTGTCCTGTAAAGAGAATATAGAAACGAAATCAATTGCAAGTCAATCTTAATTTCCATCAACAATACGGGCTCAATTAAAAAAAATTGTAAGGCTCACCTGTACAAAATGTAGAGAACATCCAGGTTAAACCAAGTAACATCATCATTCATCTCCTGTATGATGGACCGACTAATTCACAGAAATATGTCTTCTGTAATCATATTTACGGTTTGAACAGGATCTTCGTAGCTCCTCCCTATACAACTTTATTGTCCATGTTACAGCGAACAACGGAAATGTCTCTTCTGCTCGCATTAGTCAACTCCCCCAGATATCACATCTCACACACACAATTGAGAGGAGCACAGGGTCGCAGCAGTGCAACACCGGTGTAGTCAGGATCTGAACTCAGCAGCCCTCCAGTTACCAGATCCCAGGATCAGAACTGGCACCTATGCCCAGGTTATGACATAAAACCCATTTAAATGCTGGCTTTTAATGAAGTGTGGTGGTGGTGATGAAGGTTTGGTTTCCTAAATGACCATAAAGATTGCATCAATTCAGATACATTTATATGAGAGAATGTTCAGTCAAGCTCAACCTCGACAAGACAGAACTGCTCTTCCTCCTGGGAAAGGCCTGCCCGCTCAAAGACCTCTCCATCACGGTTGACAACTCCACAGTGTCCCCCTCCCAGAGTGCAAAGAACCTTGGCGTGACCCTGGACAACACCCTGTTGTTCTCTGCAAATATCAAAGTAGTGACTCGCTCCTGCAAGTTCTTGCTTTACAACATCCGTATAGTACGACCCTTCCTCACACAGGAAGCGGCAAAGGTCCTAATTCAGGCACTTGTCCTTTCCCGTCTGGACTACTGCAAATCGCTCTTGGCTGGGCTCCCCGCTTGTGCCGTCTAACCACTGCAACTTATCTGTGTTTGCATTGTCTGTTTTTCTAGTGTTGCTGGGTTTCCTGTCACTGTGGGCCTCACTGGGTTTCCTGTCACTGTTGGTTAACTAGCTGTTGAATCGACAGGAGAGTTTAACACTACTACCCTCCATAACATCCACTACATCTCTGTCTGGAGTAACTATGTCTTCAATACTTGTACCTGTAAAAAAGAACAGTTGATCATTTCTGCTTTGTTTACCTACAAGCTCCACCACAAAGTACAGTTGCTATAAAAATGCTCAAACTCTCCTCTCCTCTCCTCTCCTCTCCTCTCCTCTCCTCTCCTCTCCTCTCCTCTCCTCTCCTCTCCTCTCATTTGTGACTTGTTTCAGGAAACTAGGCGTATGTCGCTCGTCACTACTTCACAGGAGCTCCATTTGAACATACTATGTTTGGGCGGAAATGCCTTCTGGAACATGTGAACTTTCATATGCCTTAATAGCAAACTTGTATGTAATCTGTAAATACGAATACAATTGTTAAATTACGAGCTTAGTTGGTTTAGCCACGGAAAAAGACTGCAACCTTCCCACTAGCCATGATTGGCTGAGATAAAAAAAAAGAAAAAAAAAAAAAATTGGCTGAGATAATGAGTGGGCTGGACATGCCAAGAGATGAGTTCGGATTGGTCTGCTATGTAGCACGCTTCTGTCCATAACATGAGCTTGTCAGTATGTGTAGGTAATCCTTTCTAACGTGGCTTTTTTGAACGATATCATGTAGTAGAACTGCATAAGTGTTGCTCTCCACTTTCTGGAGGACCGAGTTTTGAAATCAGTGGAAATAGAGCATGATAGCTAAGGAGAGCGAAAATTGCAAATATGCAGACGGAGTCGAAAAGAGAACACACAGAAGGCTGTTGTATAAAACACGTCTCCGGATTACATCTTCAAACTAAGGGCAACCATGGCATCCGTGACAGAGAGGGAGAAGCGTCCATCCATGTATACGGGTAAGAGAGTCTACCTAGCTAAATCTTCAGATATTACACGTTTCTAATTTTGTCAGAAAGTTGTTTTGATTTCAAGTTAAAGTGTACTGTTAGCTAGCTAGCTAACGTTTGCTGGCTGGTGTAGTGTATTAAGATTATGACGTTGTTAATGTTTTTAAGTGGAACTGAAAGGATGTTTACTTAGTGTCAGAGGGAAGGTTTTAATGTGACACCCCGGATAGGACAGAGAAGTCTGTGTGTTGTAGACAGGGGATTGGACAGTAGAGGGAGCCACCCCTATCTTGGGGAGATTATATATACTGGGGAAAAACGAAGAAGAGGTTAGAGCAGACATTACAATTCGAGGACACTGCTCTCCGGGTGTCATGACATCCGTCACTTATGCTGAAATCTTGTGATATGAATAAACTTATGATCAAGGGTTCAGTATGAGCGGACTCCTTTGTTACAGCAATGACTAGCAACATTTACTCGACACAACAGAATGGCGTCACGAAAAGGGACGGTCTGCGTCTCTTCAGTGTTATATTCATGAGCAACGACGTGACTCTCGCTCAAGGCGCCGGCATAAGGTGAGATTTCTCACGGTCTTGTGTGCGTTTCGTTCGTCTGGTTATGGGTGTGCGCTGGGGAGATGTACCGTGTAAAGGAACGATGTGTGCCTTGTGTTGCTGTATTGCTGAGAACTGGGGGTCTGGCTAATCATTATAAATTTGGTTGCACTGGTAGACAGCGCAAAAGGGGGGAGAGAGAGCCTATAGAGTGTCTATAGAGAGATTTTGCTTGAATAACAGTTCAAGAACAATCGATTGAGAGAGGAATAAGGAATGCCTAGGCAGATGTGTATGTAACTTAGAGCCGCTGTAAATCATGGAAAAGCCCTGGAAGACAGGCGACCTATTAAAGGTGGGCCAGAAAATCCTGATACGCGTTAGATGTGTTTTAGGTGAGTCCGATGGGCTGGAGACCGTGGTTTATTGATGATGTATATTGCCCCTCAGCTGGCGGTTGACGAACGGCTTGTTTGATGCAATCTCTCGTGTCGATTCCACAGATCTCGTGGTAGCATAAATTTAGCTAACAAATGGTATTTTACGGTACAGCGGAGGGAGAAATGCTAACATGGCCTGCTAATTATGCTTCATGCTACATGCTAATGCTAATGCTAAATGCTAATGCTAATCATGACAATTTTTGATGCGGGTTATGATTAATATTTCTTCCTTGGTGGTCCATAGGAATGGGACGAGCCATCAGAAATGTGTTTAGTTAGCTTGGGCTTGGTGCCTGGTGTCTTGTGAACGGTTAAGTGTTATTGTTTGTCTATAAAGGGTAAAGGAGAGGAGATATAGCAGAATGCTAATGTTCTGTTGTCTGGAAATCGTATCGTTGAATGTATAGCGCATGCGTGTGATTTTACTACACTAGATTACGACACGTGGGAGTTTACGGCACTGGATTATGACACGTTTGATTTTACGGTACTAAACTACAACACGAGGGATTTTACTAAACTACAACATGGGGGATTTTGGGTAAATAGGACACTCCTCTGTTACACTGTGTTGCGGGGAGGCTGAGACAAACAAAAAGGAACAAAGAATTAGACATTTAGAGTCTAATGGTGTATTTTAGTTGTTACATCGGCTGTTGGTTAAAGATGAAACTGTTTTTGTGACCTATTGAATTGATAAATGAGAGAGAGATGTTGACATATTAAAAATAAAAATAATTAAATAAATAAATAAAATAAAAGTGTTATTGAGCTATTTATTCCTGAGTTGATTCTTAGAGCGAATGTGACTGGAGGAATATTGAATGCTGGAAGTAACTCAGTGATTGCATAAACTGCTAAATTCTTTTTCTGTTTCTATGCTCTTTTGTCATATGAGAGGAACGATAGGACGAGAGGAGAGAGAGAGAGAGAAAGAGAGGAGGGGCTGGCGTGTACGTCACGTGACAAGGATCGAGTCAAAAAGGTTTTGGTACTGTTCTGTTTACAAAATCTTCCCCTACAGGATATTTGATGTTATGACAATTTCACAGAGGCTTGGCAAATACTGATTCATAAAAAATTTGCATTTTGGAGTTTCTGTGCATCACTTTACTGACATTATTCTGTAAAATTAAGATAATTGGGTGCTTATAAAGCAAGGGGGTTTATGGGTATTGTAGTCTGAAGTTGACTACTTGCATTTACTTTCCGGATGGGTTGTGGTAAGATAGCCATTTATTGATGAATTGGTAAAATAGGATATAATAATTTTTTAATTGATTTTTTAATTGATTTTTTATTTTAATTAAAAATATTTTTAGAATAATTTTTTTAGTAGAATTTTTAATATTCATATTTTTATTGATTGATTTAAAAAAAAAAAAAATTTTGGTTGTTTAGTTTATATTAATAATTAAAGGGGGGAAGCCATAGGCTATATAGTCTAAAATAAAATAATTCACAATAAAGGAATATAAAAGAGTTGGTACAATGGGAAAAACGACATCAAGGCTATGAAGGTAATTACACCTGTTGATATAGTACAAAATAGTAATCCTTTAACTAAAGTATTGCTAGGTTATCCGGCAAATGAAACAAAAGTTGGCCTGACATTGAACAAACCATAGCTAGTAGAGGGGAATCTTAACCCTGACGTCATCAACATGATGAAAGTGATTGAATAATAGATAGAGGACAAGCAGAAACGACAATGAAAATGAATCCAAAACTCCAGAAGTAAGAAAAACCGAGATGTCTGGAAACTAGGAGAAGAGAAGCTTTGGTTATGAAGAATCAGAGTGAACCAAATCAACAATCACTGCTACAGCTTCAACTGAACAAGGTCAAATGCAATTGTACCAGCCACCAAGGGGGGTACCAGTTGTTTCATATCCACAGCCAGTTTCTGGACAGACACAGAATTGGAGAGGAAGAGGACGAGAAGGCTTAGAAGGAGGAGGAAGATTTCAGCCACACTTCCAGCAACTTTCAGAAGAGTGTTATAATTGTGGACAGGTTGGTTACTTTACCTGTGAGTGCAATAAGTCAGGAGGAAACAACAGAGGAAATTTCTGAGGAAGATAAAGGAGCAAGTGAAGATCACCTGTTCTCTAGGTGAACCCTTCAAGGATTCTAGAGTGCCTAGAAGATACGAAGGGGGGTGTCAGCTGATAGAACCGATTTAGGGAGAAGAAGGAAAATATCTAACAATTGAAGTGAAAACAAAGGACTATGAGAAATGATGGTGAATAGTGGAAAAGCTTTTATCTGTGTTCAGCCTAAAGAGGTTAAACATCTCACTATGTAAAATTAACTAATTAGGATAGGGATTTGAGGTAGTAAAACAGTTGATCACTCTTAAGGAACCAATTGAGCTCTTCTATAAAAATCAAAGAGAAATTAAAATAGACATACTAATATTAGAACATATACCTATTGCATTGTTGGGAAGAGATGCATGGTGTAAATTGAAGTGTACAATAAGATGTACACTAGACGGCTGTCTGGTAGAAGATCTTAAAAAGTAGGGTTTTTGGGAATCATATTTGCTTGAAAAGATAATATCATAGGAAGGATGACAATCTATTAGACTGCCTATTAGACAATCTGTCTGAAAAATAAAGTTAAAAGGGGTGACTGTTATTCTTGGTTACATTCCTACACCAAGAGGTGAATAGGATGTCAAACTAGGCTAAAAGATGTTTAGTCGTTTGCCAAGTCTGTGTGTAAAGAAGTCAGAAGCAGGTGGGGACTTCCCAATCACATATTCTAAAAAATTGGTGGTAAAGGGATTTTGTGAATAAATCAGTGGAAAAGTTTTAAAGGTTAGGAGAAAAGATTAGATTAAAAAAGTTAGGAGAACTAGGGTTGAAGGAACTCTAAGACAGTAAGCTAAGTTTCAAAGTTAGTAGTAAGAGAGAGAGAACAGTGGTGAAGGACATTTTAGAGTTTAGTGGGAAGATAGATATGGTAGGAGTTTAGATCTGTTAGGAGCAGATGCGTTGCTGAATGATAAGAGAAGATTAGGGAGAATATATGTGTACTTATCTAGTGCAAGCATTAAAATTTGTTCCGGTTAAGAATTATTGGTTAAAAGGCTATGTAATTCGTAAAGTGACGCTTATAATGGAAGAGTTGAAGTCTGTTGAAGCTTCCACAGTCACCAAAGGAGTTCAGGAGAAGTATATTACAGTAGCCACTCCAACAGTAAATAATACACAGAGGATATTGGTAGCTTTCCCACTAGAAGTAGTTAAGGGTGTTAATACATCAACTAAATCAACTACTTTAATGGTAACTTTGGAAGGGATAAATGATGCGACGGCAATGACAAATGTAGGAAGTATGACACCGACACCGACAACAACTTTTCTGAAATTAAAGGGGGTAGCAAGAGGGACTCAGGAATTTATGGTACGGATGGAGAGTGCTGTCAATGGTAGTAAGGATAGGGTTAAAATAGGAGAGCAGATAGTGGTTGAGAACAATATAGATTCATCTGAAATAGTGAAGGATACTATCATGGAGGTACAGGATGAGGTCTTTGATTTTAATGACAGACAAGGAGAGGTATCTGATCAGTACCGCTCGTTAGGGAAGAGAGAAACTAAATGGAAGGCATATGGTTTGATTCTTCTGTTGTGAAAATTAAAGATGGATGGGCAGGTAGGAATCTTTGGTTCCAGCAGCTAGCTCATTCTGTAAGATCAGTGAGGAATCTTGAGGGTCCATGTCTGTTGAGAATTCCAGAACAGATAAAATAATGTCGTTGTCAAAACATTTGTTTAAGCCTAGGTTTAGGTGTTCTTGGTTAAATGAATTACCCTATGGGAATTTGTTAGATGGGAAGGAAAATCAGGTAACAGCGAACCCTGAAGCATTGGAGGTGAAAGCAGTGAGTGTTAAAAGTTGTTTTTGTTCTAATAAAACATATGATGGAAAGGGTATGTTTATGGGAATATCAGATTGTGATGATTATATGATGACTTTGGGTAAGCATGAACATAAGGTTAGTAATGAGAAATATAATGTTACTTTTTATGTTCCAGTTAGTAAGAAGAGCAGGACTTTGATGGTGAAAGATTAGCTTTTGCCTGACAATGTGACTATTGGGAATTTTAGAGATATTTGGAGGGTTTGTGGTGATAAAGCGTATATATTCTTACCCTATGGATGGACAGGATGTTGTTACATGTCAACATTGAAGCTTCCATATGAGGTTTCTACCATTAAAAGAGGGGTAGCACCGGACACAGATAAATCTAAATCTAGGTTTGGAAGTAGGGTGAAAAGGGACATGGCGACATTTCATAGTCTTGAAGCCTATCATTGGAGGATAAGTCTAAGAGAGAAGGGGGGACTTTTTCCATGGTATGGTGTAACATTTTTGGCAGATCATATTGATAATATTAGCTATACTTTGATTCCAGATAGTCCAGATAGTATCACTGTGCATTGAAATATATAAGGGATGCGTTTGGTAGATCTGAAGGAGCTGGATGGTCAGTGAAGTCTTGGTTGCAAGATCAGTTAGGCCCAGTAGGAGCAGTGATGGTTCAGATTTAATAGCAGTTTTGATAGCACTGTGTGTGATGTTTGTAATTTGTTACTGACCTTTGAGAAAGCTATGATATTGAGTTAGGTTGGAGTTGTGATGCCTGGAGACAACGCTCAGATGCCGTTGTTGACTGTTCCTGATCTGGATGAAGATGGACAAGTGGGACTGGAGTATTGATGGATAAATATCCTTTTTGATTATTTGATCATTTTTCAAAAATTTTTCAATATTAGTGTGATTTTAGTATGATGTTATGAATCAAAGGGGGGAAGTGTATGAATGAATCACATTATCCTATTTCATTATTCTACCATTTATAGTGATTCATACATCATTTATATATAATTTTTATATTCTTAGTTGATATTGATGTTTAATTTGAAAGTGTTGTTTTGCAAAAGATACTGTTTGGTCTTTTCTTTTCTTCCAGAAGCATTTGGGGGAATATGTAGAGATTGAAATACTCAAACAAGGACAATATGAAGGGACAATATGAAAGGAGAATGACTGGAGGAGATGGAACAAGGAAGGTGTGGAAATGTTCCCATTCCATCATCGAAGATGCATTGGGAGTCAAGACTACGGGGGAGATGAAGTGTAGTGGACTACATTCCAGTGTCTGCAATGAAATATAGACATATTTGCATGTGTAAATACATAATTTGTGTCATTTTCTTAGGTATTAATTTTTGTAGAATGATATTTGATGTTATTGGATACATGTGGGGATCTTAGATGTTTTTGTTTATTTCGTGAATGCTTAGGGACAGGGAGTCTAGGCAGGGATAGAGTTCCACTGTAGGGTCTGATGGGTTGACCAGCCTTAGAGTGGACATTTTTTGGATAGTATTTTGTTTGCAGGGGCTTTCATGTGTATTTAATTGCATCATAGTTTCAAATGCATTGATAAGGATTTATGAATTCATCGGGAGTACCTAGGTGGTTGCCTGGGGCAGAGGGACCGTGAGAGAATTTTACTGTCTTGAACGAAGGCTGCCAGACAGTTTTTCGCTCTCACACTCCATAAAGATTTGTTCATATTTCATAGTAATGTATTCACACTCCATAAAGATTTGTTCATATTTCATAGAAAGGTATTTACACTCTAGAGGAAAATGTTTTTGGTTTAATGTTAAAGATACTCAATAAGATAAATTGTTACTTGTCATAATCCTATTCTGTTTGTTTTTGAGACTTTTATTTCGTCTCGAAGGGGGGAATGTAGTGTATTAAGATTATGACGTTGTTAATGTTTTTAAGTGGAACTGAAAGGATGTTTACTTAGTGTCAGAGGGAAGGTTTTAATGTGACACCCCGGATAGGACAGAGAAGTCTGTGTGTTGTAGACAGGGGATTGGACAGTAGAGGGAGCCACCCCTATCTTGGGGAGATTATATATACTGGGGAAAAACGAAGAAGAGGTTAGAGCAGATATTACAATTCGAGGACACTGCTCTCCGGGTGTCATGACATCCGTCACTTATGCTGAAATCTTGTGATATGAATAAACTTATGATCAAGCGTTCAGTATGAGCGGACTCCTTTGTTACAGCAATGACTAGCAACATTTACTCGACACAACACTGGCTAGCTAACTAACGTTACGTGTATGATCTGTGTAGTAATATTATTTGTATCTCAGAGCCATTTGTTCTCTCTTTATTCAGATTAACAGACAGTCAAGGGTCTTCAGGTTTAGCTCTTATTACAGAGGGTTTTAAGGAGATTGTAGTGTAGAGGAGGAATTGGGGTGCTGATCTGGGAAATTACCGATACCATAGAAGATTTTCTACTGAGCCAGAGTAGTTGCAAGACAGTGTAACACTGCTCCCCTCCATGCCATGTTCTGTCTCTGAAGTTGGATTTATGACATTTTTATAACTTCCTCCTGTAATAAAGTTACGTTTAGATTAACATTTTCAGTTCATGGGAAATTATAATCAGTCATTTACATTTCTTCTACGAAGTGCTATTTTCAAATGACACTTGACAGTTACCTTGAATAAACTAGAAGTATGTAATGTCAGACTAATACTCACCAACAAGTGCAGAGAGGAGAAAAAATGGATAGAGAAACATGGTGATGGGTGTAACAGTGAGTTATCAGGAGGCAGAACTGAAGACATCCCACTGTTCCAGTCAGTTAGAGGAGAATCATCTCTCTACCTCTCATCTTAGCTACTCCTATTCAGTAAATGGACACACATTACATCAGAATTATTGATGGATAATCATGAACATGATCTCTGATCATTTGTTTGCAGCTGCTTGCCTATTACATGGTGTTTACTAGTAGGACTTTATTACAGGAAGGTATTTGTAGTGTTTCTGGTTTTCCTGTCACTGTGGGCCTCAAAGCACAATAGTACAGAGCAGAGTCTGCCACTTTAGCAGAGGAGATCTCCAGATCCACACGTTCAGCCCACTTTGTCAACGTTAACTGACAGTCGAGGATACGGTGGATCTGCAGTAACTATTGTCTCAGCAGATGCTGATTACACTGAGATAAGGAGGAGGAATTGTGATATTGGTGATACCATAAGACACTGCCTCCACCAGATACTGTGTAGTTGCAGGAAAGCTTGACACTGCCACCATGTATCACATCCTTCTCAAGACTGTTTGAGTAAATTCCATCCCCACAACTATCAACTATCACCTGCAGAAAACTGACATGTGAAATATAAGTTCGATTTGTCCTTTCAAAGCTTGTGTGTTGTTTTTCCAAGCTTGTAAAGAAGTAATGACACATTATCATGACTGTTAAATGTATTTTACTTGCCCACAAATGTTAAAAAGTACAGGTTGAAACAGCACAGCATGGTTAATGTTAGAGAGACAAGCTTACAATGCACTGAGGAAAGACCTTCATGCCATTTTGAGTCTCTCCTTTTCATTCTCATACTAGCTCCTCCTCTAAACACAACAGAACTCATTTTTCAGAGGATCTTCTGAAGTGAATGAATAATAGGAAGATACATTTATTTTCAAATGCTTTGATTTCACCATCTTCAGACGGATGTTTGCATGCATTCACTCTCCTCAGAAAGTGTTCCTCTGTGTGTTACTGTGTGTCACACTAGCTGACAGACAAATGTCACATCTACTACAGAGGTTCAATTCTCTACACTAGTGCAGTTGTTGATAGGCTGCTGTACTAATCATTCTTGAAAGGAGAGAGGACATTTACAGGTGTAACCACAATCACTCTGGTAGCCTAAAAACATCTTGAGTGTATCTGATTTAAAATGATGGTCTGGAAACAGTTTCCATCAAGATGGGATAATCAAATAATTATCCAGGTTTAGGTTTTTGTACAGCTTCTCAGAAAAATGTAAGCACCTTCCTTTCATTCCCAAAAGCACAGTAGTAGAGAGCGGTGTCTGCCAGGGTTAGATGTTTTATGACCAGTTCAGATGCTATACTTTGTGGATTTATATCAACTATCAGGGGAATGCTAACTGGTACTTTATGTGGCACCTTAACCATTAGAAACTGAGGAGCCTGGTTAGGGTACTGCTGGTACCAATAAAGCAGAATATTATCACTGCTTGTATCATATGAGCAACTCAGTGTCACAGATTCTCCTTCTGTACAGATGACTCTGGGCTTTACAGGAGTAATGTGATCCCCAGCAATGAGTTCTGGAAAGATAATGCAGTATTACTACTGTACATAGAAATATAATATTAAAATCCAAATGAAAATAATGTACAGAACATTCTGTCTCACTGTAACATATCATGTAATGGTAACAGTATCATTTTCTATTCTAGCAATGCAACTAATGTTAACCTCTACGGGATAGGTGTCCAGTATACGGGACGGTTGAGCTAACGCGCTCTAATGTGATTAGCATGACTGTTGTAAGTAACAGCAAACCTTCCAGGACATAGACATGTCTAATATGGGCAGAAAGCTTAAATTCTTGTTAATCTAACTGCACTGTCCAATTTACAGTAGCAATTACAGTGAAAGAATGCCATGCTATTATTTGAGGAGAGTGCACAACAACAAAAAACGTATCACGGCAACTGATTTTATACATTCACCTCTGAAGGTAAATCATGTACTTACATTCAGTAATCTTGCTCTGATTTGTCATCCTAAGGGTCCCAGAGATAAAATGTAGCATAGTTGTGTTTGATAAAATCAATTTTATATTAAAATGTAGGAACTGGGTTCTACAGTTTGAACCCCTGCTGTCTCTGGCTCCACACCCAACCTGCCCGGCCATCTAGATGTGTGAAAGTTACTGTATAAGCTAATGATCCATCATGTATGACAGGGGTGTCAAACTCATTTTAGCTCAGGGGCCACATGGAGGAAAATCTATTCCCAATTGGGCCGGACCGGTAAAATCATGGTATATATAACTTAAAAACAACAACTTCAGATTGTTTTCTTTATTTTAGTACGATCAACATAAAACATAAAGCTGGAGCCTGAGGACAGTGTGTCCAAAATAGTACAAGCACAACATCACTATTAATCATAAAACACCTCAAGTTTATTTGAAAATTCTAAAGAAAAAGAACACACAAACACACAATGCCTCAGTGATTCACAGAACTGTTTCACAGATCACAGAACTATATCAGGGGGTCATTTCTCAGGCAGAAATGTAGATACAAATAATGAAATCCTGTTCCCCAAACAAGTGCAAGAACCACAGAGTCAAGAATAGGTTAAATATACAAATAAAATAAAATCAATTAAAAACAATAGCACATCAACATAAAAACATATAAACATAAAGCTGGAGCCTGAGGACAGTGTGTCCAAAAGCACAACATCACTATTAATCATAAAACACCTCAAGTTATTTGAAATTCTGAGGACAAACAACACACAAACACACAATGCCTCAGTGATTCACAGAAGTATATCACAGATCACAGAACTATATCTGGGTGTCTCATGCAGCACTTTAAGTGGGGTTGCATAGTTTATTTGACTCCTGATACCTGGCATCTTTTAGCTTTCACCAGTGCATCAATATCAGGCATCACATCCTGAGTGGCAGCCAACTTCAGGATGTGATTCAAGTACTTGTGCGTGAGCCTTGAGCGCAGCTTTGTTTTATTTATGCTCATTACAGAGAACTTGCTCACAAAGATATGTGCTTCCAAACATGCACAACAGTTTTGCAGTGAGGGCTGTCAAGTTGGGGTAACCTGGCAAGAGATTCTGATAAAATGTGTCCAAGCCAGCTGCAGCAGATTTGCCCTTCAAATCCGAGTCACACTGCAAGTCTATTATTTCAAGTTGGATGCTGACGGGCAGATCAGAGGGATTCACGGTGAATGGCGAACAAAAAACTTTGAAGTCTTTCTCCAGTTCACCAAAAATCTGAAAGCGTTGCTCAAACTCCCTTAACAGTCCCGTTATTTTATCTTTAAACCGCTTCATGTCTGCCACATGTTGGGTCGCGCACACATTTTTCAGACAGGGGAAGTGAGCTGCATCACCACCGGCGAGTTGCGTCTCCCACAATGACAGCTTCAACTTGAAAGAACGTATGCTGTCATAATACTGCGTGGCAACTTTGTTGCGCCCTTGCAGCTGTTTGTTCAAGTTATTCAGGTGCTCTGTAAGATCCACCATAAATGCAAGGTTCTGCATCCATTCTGCGGAATGAAATTCTAACACTGGTTTGCCCTTTTCTTCCATGAACTGTTCAATTTCTTCTCGTAAATCAAAGAAACGCCTCAGCACAGCACCTCGGCTTAACCATCTTACCTCAGTGTGGTATGGCAGGCCATAGATGTGGTCTTTCTCTCTGAGAAGGCTGTCAAACTGACGGTGATTCAGGCTTCTGGATCGGATGAAATGAACAGTTTGGATGACCACCTTCATGACGTTATCCATCTTTAATGACTTGCAACACAAAGCCTCCTGGTGCAAAATACAGTGAAAAGTCAAAAAATCACGTCCTCCATTTGCAGATTGCACTTTCTCTCTGAACTTTGTCACAACGCCTGCTTTTTTCCCGATCATTGAGGGCGCACCATCTGTAGCCAGGCTGACAGCGCGGGACCAGTCCACTCCGACCCTGTCCAGCGCGCCGACGAGTGCAGTGAAAATATCAGCTGCTGTCGTTGTATCTGTCATCGGCACCAACTCCACGAACTCCTCGGTGACGGTCAATGTGTCATCAACTCCGCGGATGAAAATGGCCAGTTGTGCAACATCTGTAATGTCCGTGCTTTCATCAATTGCAACCGAAAACGCAATAAATGACTTTACTTTTTGCTTCAACTGGTTGTCCAAATCCACTGAAAGATCGGAAATCCTGTCTGCAACTGTGTTTCTTGTCAGGCTGATATTTGCAAAAGCCTGGTGCTTTTCAGGGCACACAATCTCTGCTGCCTTCATCATGCATGTTTTTACAAATTCACCCTCACTAAATGGTTTTGAAGCCACTGCGATTTCATTAGCAATGAGGTAGCTAGCTTTCACTGCAGCGTCACTGATGTCTCGGCTGTGAGTAAACACAGACTGCTGTTTCTTCAGACCCACCAACAGTTCATTCACCTTCTCTCTTCTCCGCTGTCCTTGAAAGTTGTCATATTTGTCGGCATGAAGACTCACATAGTGGCGACGAAGGTTATATTCTTTCAGCACTGCAACATGCTGTGAACACACCAAACATACAGCTTTCCCATTCAATTCCGTGAATAAATAGAAGGATGACAATTTTTCTTGGAACACTCTGCACTCTGCGTCCACTTTTCTCTTTTTTGACAGAGACATATTGGGGCAATGAGGGTGCCAAATCACATAATGTTAAAAGTAGAAGCCGTAATAAATATCGCGGGCAAAACAAAGTAGCTCATCCGGACTGGCTGCACTTGCTTGACCTATTTGCTCTGCCCCGGTATAAACAGTTTGCTTGCTTAACACAATTTCTATTGCGCCATCCAGTGGACACAATTGGAACAGCAGTTTATTTTATTGAAAAATTGCAGCTCATTTTTATACTTTACAAAATCATCTCGCGGGCCGGATTAAACCCGTTTGCGGGCCTGATCCGGCCCGCGGGCCGGACGTTTGACACCCCTGATGTATGACATTCCTGGGAGTGTGTAAACTTACATTTTGTATTACCTTATCATTTTTGTATCAATTGACCAATTCAGCACGTTTGGGCAGACTTGATACTAAATAGTCCAGTATTGCAATGCTTCACTGGATCAATCTGAAACTTTGCACACACACTGCTAAATTGCGCCTAAACACCAATATTATATTGTGGCCTTTCTTTTGCATTTCAAAGATTATATTATCTTTTACCAGATCTAATGTGTTATATTCTCCTAAATTAATTTCACATTTCCACAAACTTCAGTGTTTCCTTTCAAATGGTATCAAGAATATGCATATCCTTCCTTCAGGTCCTGAAATACAGGCAAATAGATTTGGGTATGTCATTTGAGGCGAAAATTTTAAAAAAAGGGTCAGATCCTTGAGGTTAAAAGTGAGGTGCTCAATATATCATAGACATTTACCTGAGGCCACAAGGAGAATTAGACATTTATGCATGGCAATCTTACACTGGAGATCAAACTTCAGCTACTGATGGCTGTATTCTGATGCTATAGCAAGATCAAAAACAAATGTTAGATTGTATGAAGCTGGTGTTCTCTTGATTCCTGTCTTTGTAGCAGCACAGGCCTAGACCATGCAGCACAGAACAGAGGGGATGTTCAAATAGACAAGTCATTTCAGAGTAGAAAGCAAAACTCACTTGGTACTGTGGCCCCCTTGTGGTTGATGCTGGCTTTCCATAACTCTGTTCACAATACTGATGCTTTTGTCTCCTAATGATGAATTCTAAGATATATATGTATGTTTTCTAATCCATGAGATATTAAAATATTATTTGAATGTCTCGTACATCTACATTTAGAGCTGAATTGGAGGAGGGAGCTTTATTGGCAACAACAAATACTTTCTGTATAATCATCATCATCATCATCATCATCATCATCATCATCATCACTATGATTATCATCATCTGCTACCACTAGTCTTGGTAGTATCAGGGAGGTAGTGAGAAGGTTACTGTGTCAATTTCTAAGTGGTGTTGTATACTGTACAGACAGGTGTATTGTCATTGTGTAGCTCAGTATGTTTTTGTTAGGGGGCTGTATATCCTGTTGTCACAGTGGGCTTCAGAGCACAGTAGTACACAGCAGAGTCAGACGGCTGCACCCTCTGGATAGTCAAAGGGACTGATTTGGAGTTGGCATCGAGATCAGCATGAAATCTCTCCTTGAACTCAGTAGCATTGTCTCCCGTTCCAAATTTTTGCCGCATAAGCATATACTTGGGGTAGTCGTTAGCTCGCTGTTTGTACCAGAATAGATATGGACTTGGATCGTCTGTTTTGTAATGACAGGTAAGTGTTATTTGTCCTCCTTCGGTAGCAGTCTCATCTTCTTTAGGCTGTGACACACTGTCTCCTCTGCATTCTGGAGAGAAATAAAAAAATAAGTTGAAAAAAGAAAGGGTGTTTTTGATGATTTATACCCATGAAATCATTGGGAGCATATAGAGTGTGCAACTTTCTCTATTTTACATGACAACAGAAAGGGATCATTTATGCAATGTCAGTAAGCAAATAAATAAAATAATAGTTATCAATCATACCACAACAAAAAGCAGCAAGAATCAGAATATTCTTCAGCCAAGCTTCCATGTCTACTGTGAGATGGGTAGCTGAGGAGAGAGCAAACACACTTGTATGTGTCTTTGAATGCTTTAACTCTCTTATAGGAAGTATTGAGGAGGAGCTTAAACTAGGCCCTCTAAGAGTCTTATATCACACTGTCAAATTGTTTTTGTAAGGGGGCTGTCCATCCTGTTGTCACAGTGGACCTCAGAGCACAATAGTACACAGCAAAGTCAGACAGCTGCAACCTCTGGATCATCAAGGGGACAGAGCTAGATGTGAAATTCAGCCTGGAATCAAACCTCTTCTTGAACTCATCACTATTGCTCCCTTCTGAATAGCGATCTCTTCTCAGGATATACTGAGGAGTGTCCCTAGTTAACTGGATGTACCAGAATAGATCAGGAGATGGACTACTGCTAGTGTAGTTACAGCTGAGTGTTACCAGTCCTCCTTCAAGGGCAGTAACATGTCCACTCTGCTGGTCAACAGACTCTTCACCTTTGAAATCTGAAAAATAAATATTTCAGAGAATGAGAATGTAGAAAGGAGAAGCACTATACTGTACCAAAATAGCATGCAGCCAGGATAAGTACAGTATTCCTAAGCAAAGGGGCCATTGTGATTCATGTATAGAGGAAGAATAGACTGTTATAGACTTTATGTTCCATCCACTGTAGCTGAGAAGTCTCATAAAAGTTGGGCTCTGCAGTAGGGGAGGAGCTTATGGTATATTCAATTGTTTAGTTGAACTGCCAAAGGGATTCCTTTTTAAATGTGATATATTTGGTACCATGAAATGTCTCCTTTAAAGAATGTTACCTTCTTCTCCAAGTCCTTTCAAAATTCTAATTTGGTAGTTGTTATGGGCCTTGGAGAAATACATTTTATGTTCAGGCCAAATTGAGCTCCTCTGACGAATAAAATAAAATAAAATAATATATCCAGCAAGGGTTTGTAACAAAATCAGAAAGAAAGGCCCAGACCACTGTAGCCTATGAACCAGTCCAATATAGACCTTGGCTATGCTGACCAATGCCACAAAGAGTTATCTTTACAATGCATTTAAAACAGTAGTAGAGTCAACTAATGATTGTTTTATGATTGATACCAATGATTGACAAGGGATGCAACCATGATCGTAATCTCTGACATCGCAGTGCACATTAACGTAAATGATGGTCAATGGCATCACCATGTAGCCTATTACTCATTGGTTGTTGTCTCTCGATTTGGTCCATAAAATCAACCTCTCACTCCTTCCTGGAGTTAATCAAGTAGAAAACTGCCTTCCTCATAATCCTGCTTCTCCTAATGTTTTTCATTATTTGTGCCAACTGAAGCTAGGGTTAGGGTTAATTCTAGGGTCACGGTCAATTCAGTAGGTGGACAAGAAGGTAGTGTTAGAATTGGGCTAGAGCCGACCTTAACCTTGACCAACCCTTGGCACTGTTTTTATACTATTATAGTTATTAAATGCACTCTTACAATTAATTACATTTCAAGTGTTGATTTTATTGAAGTGTGTTGTATGTATCTGATGTACTGCTTCATCCTTTAAAGTAAATGCCTCAAGGGAATATATTAAATTGTTTTGTAAGCCCTATATTATATATTGTTCTACACAATTTAGTAATGAATACAGTTGACTCTGCCTGAATGCACTTTGGAAAACCACAGTCTGTTCATATAAAATAAATGCAAATGGTTAATACAAGAAGCAGAAACAGAATATGCAATTGTGACAAGAAAGGGTTAAAACATAATGAATGTATATTCTGTTTGGTGGGGGAAAATATACAACACAGACACCTGTAAAGTGTTGGTATGCTGCATGCATCATTTAAAGGAATAGGAGCAAATTGATGAGACTCCACTGACACCTATTGACTCTCACTAGTAACTTACTCTTGAAAATACAAGCAATGTCAAGGTTTCACCTTGTTGGGCAGAATGTTGAACACTAAATGGAACTATTCTGTGATTATATTATGCATAGAAAAACCATAACTGTGGAGGGCAGTCTAAAGGAGGAGCACAGACAAAGAAGATCTGTCATATAACTAATCAGGAGGCAGAGAGAACATCTCAGTAGTGGTTGGAGAGGGAGGAGCAGTGGATAAGCCACCTGGCTCACTTGGGCCTGATCAACCCGTCCTTCAGAAGGTGTAGTGGGCAGCACATGTAGGATAAGAAGGTACCTCACCTGAAGATCAGCCAGGAGCTGCAGAAACGGCTGTTTGTGGGTAAATATAAAGAAAGACCCTTTATACTCTACCTACACATTGCTGACCACATTTAAATGTTGAGGAAGATCTGAGAATAAAGCCACTATATCCTCACATGAATAATGAACTATTATTCTGTCGTGAACCATGGGATGGATGTAACTCTCACCCTCGCCGAGCTACAACAGGTTCTGGGATGGAGAGAGCAGGAGGCCAAGAAGACGGAGAGTCAACGGGACAGGAAGAGCAACAAGAGGAAGAGAGCTGAGAGACGTCGCAGCCAGCAGAGGAAGGCGGAGTTAAGAGTTACATCCATACCAGGGTACACGACAATACATGTGCAAACTTTAATTCCTTTTCATATCTAGTGACCCAGACCAAAACAGTGTAAGAGCCTTTTTATGTTTGCCTGGCCCATAACAGACAGTTAGGTAGCTTTAGCTATGTTTTTGCTCCTCTAAAGAGTGCAGTACATGGATTTACCACCAGAGGACCAGACCGCTGAGTAGGTCCATGTTGAGAGCAATAATTAAGTGATAATGCCCGAGAGTGTTCGTCTCGTGCCAATATATCCTCCAAACAACAACTTCCAGGGCATTTTCACTTTTATACAATGGGTTACCAACATATTCAAATAATGATTGACATATTTTCACTACAAATGTTATTTGTATCCCATAAGCTACATGTGGATCTTTGATTATCCAGCCCCTCCTCTTGACACCAACATTTTCTGTTATGGCTTTTTTCCTATAGTATACTGTATTTTGTCAGGTTTTTGTACAGTGTTTCTGGGTACAGTGTTTGTACTGTCACTGTGGGCTTCAGAGGTGGTCCTCTGTAGCTCAGCTGGTAGAGCACGGTGCTTGTAACGCCAGGGTAGTGGGTTCGATCACCATGACCACCCATACACAAAAATGTATGCACGCATGACTGTAAGTTGCTTTGGATAAAAGCATCTGCTAAATGGCTTATTATTATTACATTAATATAGAGCAGAGTCTGTCACTTCAACAGAGGAGATCTCCAGATCCACATGGGTCAATTTAACAGACAGTCGAGGGTGGGTCGATTCATTATGTGTCTTTAACTCTCCTTCATTGAGGAGAAGCAGAAATTCTGGTTTTGATCTGGGGTATTGTTGATACCACAGTAAAGTATCAGTACTGTAAGAGCCAGTGTAGTTGCAGGACAGAGTAAAACCATCACTCTCATAAATACGCTCTTCAGTTGTGGGTGATATTATTTCCTCCTCGTAACTGCTACCTGAAATAAATAATTGGGAACCCCTGCTCTAAGGAACAAAACAACACAAAAATTGTTCTTCATTTTGTATTTATTCAGACTAGTATCTTTGATCATGTTATATCACAACAGGAAGATGCAGACAATATAAAGTATTATTTCCTGAATAATATTTATATCAAATACGTTTTATTTCTTCTTTTTCAGTTGATGTGGAAATGCAGGGAAAATATTAGTAATAATGTACTCTAAATAATAACTGATCTATCAGAATACAATGTCTCCACCAAGACACTGTTTATCCACAAGGCTCTTGACAGGTTTGTGTACAGTGTGTCTGGTTTTCCTGTCACTGTGGGCTGCAAGGCGCAGTAGTACAGAGCAGAGTCTTCCAATTCAACAGAGGAGATCATGAAGTGAACACGGGTCTTCTCTTCATTCAGTCTACCAGTGTGTCGTGGAGTCGTAATGGATGTATTCTGTACATATATGCTGCTTTGTAGGATCAAAAGAAGACATTCTGGTCTAGATCCAGGGTATTGACGGTACCATTGGAGATTGTTAACATTGCCGTTGTAGTTGCAGGAGAGAGTGATGTCTGTTCCTTGGAGAACATTGACTTCAGGCTTCACTGGAGTTATTGTTTCCTGCTCTGTACTATCAGCTGCAACAACATAAGTATAGTCATTGTGTTAATGTTGATTCCTAATGAGAAAAAAGGCATGGATTAGGTGCCCATAAATTATGACAAGAGAAAGAATTGAAACTTTCCAGTAAAATGCAATTTAGTGTTTAATGCAATCATTCATTGACAAAAGCAATCTCGTATTCAAAATGTTATTTGGTTTAAACGGAGAATTCAGCACTCACCTACAAACACAGAGAGGAGCAACAGTAATGTGAATGACATCCTGACACAGACTAGATAAACCAACTGAGAGATAAGACAGTGAGAGAGCTGAGTAGATCCTCTACAGAGACATCCTCATGTTTGCAGGTATACCCAGCCTGTACCAGTATTTGACTATGAGGCCCCTATTCTGATAACTGGATATGTAACTCTTCTTCTGTGGTTTGTGGTTAAGGGTTTTCAGCTCTTATTGGCCTCAGATTATTTTAGACTTCATTTCTGTCTGAAAATGTCTTGTTTTTGCTGCTGTTGTTGTTTGTTTGTTCATCCCTCATCTTTGTGTCAGACTGTCAGCTTTTTGTATGATGAAGTGTTTCCTGTCACTGTGGGCTGCAAAGCGCAGTATAACAGAACAGAGTCTGTCACTTCAGCAGAGGAGATCTCCAGATCCATGGCTTGGAAATGTTTTTTTTATTTTTATTTTTATAGATCCACAATACTATACCATGCTATACCATATGAATAATCTGCAAATAAACCTTATTGGTAAGAATGGTATAATATTGTATGTTGATAAGGATGAAGTGAATTCTAAACAAAAATCCTACATCCCACATCTTTGTGTCAGACTGTCAGCTTTTTGTATGAGGAAGTGTTTCCTGTCACTGTGGGATCCATGGCACAGTAGTATAGAGCAGAGTCTGTCACTTCAGTCGAGACGATCTCCAGATCTGCTAGAAAAGGAAAAACATGCTGCTCTTTTTGTATTTTTGGTCTGTTGATAATTCCTTTTCCCTTCTCATTACCATAACACAATTTTGTGATACTCAAATCTGAAATATAATTGTGTTTTTGACAACTTTGAAATACATTCTGGTGTATAAATTAAAACTGTCAAATTGAATACAGCACTCACCAACAAGAACTGAGAGGAGGAGAAATGATGAAAGCAGCAACACAGCTGATAGACACAGTATCAAAAAGACTCTGACACAACATAGGCAGAGTTGAATATCTCTCTCTGTAGCAATCTTTCAGTCTTGATGATTGGAGAAAATGTTGTAGCTCCAGCTACTGCCAAAACACAGCGGGTGGTGGACAACAAGCTTTGTTTCTGTGTGTGCCATGCAATGCTTGTTTAATGTATGTAGTGTCTAAACAATTTTTGACTTTACTGACGTTTGCAAATGGTGTGTTAGAGGAAGTTGACTCAGCTTGTGGAAGCATCTGGAAAGCATTACTATAGGGGCCCCCTAAAACAGAGGAAGTCTGTTATGTGGCGTCCTGGAATTGGTCTGTGGGGGAAAACCACCCATATCAGGTTACATAGGATATATATACCATGGTTGAAACAAAGGACGGGGAGGGACAACATATTAGAGATTGGGTTGGTTGTTCTCCGGATTTTCTGCAGAAATCTGTAAATTGACACTGAAAGTGAAGATGTAATAAACTATTATAATCAAGGACAGTGTCAGCGGATTTCTTGTCATCACAGCATCTCAGCATCGTTATCTCGACACTACATTAATGGCGACGAGGAATTTGGTGTCACGATCGTCGTAGGAGTGAGTAGACCAATACGCAGCGTGTTGCACGAACATGGTGATCTTTATTATCGACAGCGATAAAAAGCACACTAAACAAAACAAATACACGACTCGTGAAGTCCACGGTGACACTGACCGAACACGGAACAAAAACCCACAAACACAAAGTGAAACACAGACAGTTAAATATGGCTCCCAATCAGAGACAACCAGCACACAGCTGACACTCGTTGCCTCTGATTGGGAGTCACTCAGTCAAACATAGAAACAGACTAACTAGAACCCCCAACATAGACATAACCACATAGAACAAACACACTCTGGCTCAACAAATAGAGTCCATTAGCCAGGGTGTGACAGTACCCCCCCCCCTAAAGGCGCGGACTGCGACCGCGCCTCAAAAACGCAAAACAGGGGAGGGCTGGGTGGGCATACCTCCTCGGCGGCGGTTCTGGCTCCGGGCTTGCCCACCACCCTCCAATAAACCCCCCATAGCGCCCCTGGTCCGGTCTGGTCCCGCTGGCTGGAGCTGACCTGGACGTAGCAGGAGCGGCTAGCTTCAGCTCCGTTGTGGAGCCGTTGACCGGTACCTGATTAGGCACCGGTGACCCAGGCACGGGTTGTGCCGGACAGACGACGCGCACCCCTGGCTTGGCGCGGGAGGCAGGAAAGGACCGGACCTGGCTGACGATGCGCACCCCTGGCCTGGTGCGTGGAGCAGCCACGGGCCGGACCGGGCTGACGACTCGCACCCCTGGCTTTGTGCGTGGAGCCGGAACGGGCCTCACCGGACTGACGACTCGCACCCCTGGCTTGGTGCGTGGAGCCGGAACGGGCCTCACCGGACTGACGACTCGCACCCCTGGCTTGGTGCGAGTAGCAGGAACGTTCTGGACCAGGCTGACGACTCGCACCCCTGTCTTGGTGCGAGTGGCAGGAACAGGCTGGACCAGGCTGACGACTCGCACCCCTGGCTTGGTGCGAGTGGCAGGAACAGGCCGGGCCGGGCTGGCGACTCGCACCGTAGGTTTGGTGCGTGGAGCAGGAACAGGCCGGGCGACGCACACCGTAGGCTTGGTGCGTGGAGCAGGAACAGGCCGGGCAGGGCTGACGACGCACACCGTAGGCTTGGTGCGTGGAGCAGGGACAGGCCGGACAGGGCTGGCGACGCACACCGTAGGTTTGGTGCGTGGAGCAGGAACAGGCCGGGCAGGGCTGACGACGCACACCGTAGGCTTGGTGCGTGGAGCAGGGACAGGCCGGACAGGGCTGGCGACGCACACCGTAGGTTTGGTGCGTGGAGCAGGAACAGGCCGGGCTGGGCTGTCGACGCACACCGTAGGCTTGGTGCGTGGAGCGGGAACAGGCCGGGCTGGGCTGTCGACGCGCACCGTAGGTTTGGTGCGAGTGGCAGGAACAGGCCGGGTCGGGCTGGCGACGCGCACCGTAGACTTGGTGCGGGTGGCAGGAACAGGCCGGACCGGGCTGGCGACGCACAACGTAGGCTTGGTGCGTGGAGCAGGGACAGGCCGGGCTGGGCTGTCGACGCACACCGTAGGCTTGGTGCGTGGAGCAGGGACAGGCCGGACAGGGCTGGCGACGCACACCGTAGGCTTGGTGCGTGGAGCAGGAACAGGCCGGGCTGGGCTGGCGACGCACACCGTAGGCTTGGTGCGTGGAGCAGGGACAGGCCGGACAGGGCTGGCGACGCACACCGTAGGCTTGGTGCGTGGAGCAGGAACAGGCCGGACCGTACTGGGAACACACACCACTGGCCTTAAACGGGGATCAGGAACGGGCCGGACCGGACTGGCAATACACCTCAGTACCTCTCGCCGTGCCTCTACAACTTCCTTCCCTCCTCTCGCCAATGGCTCCCGTAACCCGGTGGCCTTCTCTCCTCGTCTCCCATTACGCCCTGTGGCAGCCTCCTGCTGCCCAGTCGCCCATGCCGTGTGCCCCCCCCTAAAAATTTCTTGGGGTTGCCTCTCGCCTGTCCGACGTTGACCCGTTTGGCGCCGCTGCTCCTCTCCTGCCTGGGTCTCCCCCTTTATCGCCTTCCAGTACCGGACGGCCTCCTCCTCAGTAATCTGCCCCCAACCGAGGAGGACATCCACAAGAGTCACCTCCTGCGTGTGTTCCTGGACACGCTGCTTGGTCCTGGTATGGTGGGTTTTTCTGTCACGATCGTCGTAGGAGTGAGTAGACCAATATGCAGCGTGTTGCACGAACATGGTGATCTTTATTATCGACAGCGATAAAAAGCACACTAAATAAAACAAATACACGACTCGTGAAGTCCACGGTGACACTGACCGAACACGGAACAAAAACCCACAAACACAAAGTGAAACACAGACAGTTAAATATGGCTCCCAATCAGAGACAACCAGCACACAGCTGACACTCGTTGCCTCTGATTGGGAGTCACTCAGTCAAACATAGAAACAGACTAACTAGAACCCCCAACATAGACATAACCACATAGAACAAACACACTCTGGCTCAACAAATAGAGTCCATTAGCCAGGGTGTGACATTTGGGCCGTGTTGCATCTTTTCTCAGCGTTCCATTCATGGGCGCCGAGCTGACTCCCGCTCAAGAGGCATGCAGATACGGTGAGCTTTCTCACAAACTTTGGTCGCTGGTCAGTTCGTGTGCTTGTTTGTGTGTGTGCGTTGAAAGACTGCACCGTCAAAGGACTTATGTGTGCGCTTTGCTGTTATTTGCTGTGTGAAAAGGTTCCGTTCTAAATTTCTAAATGTGTTTGCGTTGAAAGGCAAACAGGGGGGAGTGTCTATAGGAATTGATAACACTTGGCACAGGGATATTTGGCTTGAATAAAAATTAAAGGGAAAAAGAATAGAAAGGCCAGGAACTAAGGAAAAATGTATACTAATTAGGACGTCGTTGATCTATGGAAAGCCCTCAAATGAGGCAATCATTACGATGGGCCGAAAATCCTGAAAACTCACTAGGTTGATTTTTAAGGTCAGTTCTGGGGACTGGAGATTGTGGTAGATACATTCGGTTGCAAGTTACCCCTCGACTTATAGTTGACGAGGTATATGTTCGAAGTAACCTCTCATTGGATATCTGCAAACTCGAGGTAGCAGAAATGTAGGAACAATGAGAAATAAGGAACGACGGTAGCATGCTTTAGAGGACCGTAGGAATGGATACATTCCTCTTGAATTGTGTGTGTGTGTGAGAAAAGAGAGCCTGTGTGTGTGTGTGAAAAAAAAGGGGAGGTCTCTGCTGTGTGTCGACTAAGGCTATGACAACAGGGGTTTTAGTTTTTTGTAAGGAAATATGTTAGTTAAGGTTAAAATCTTATGAGTCTCTATAAAAAGAGAACGTTTAATAACTGTTAAAAGACTAGGAGCCTACAGGGAGGATTTTAAGAGTGTATAGAGATGTTTTGTAATGGATAAGAAAATAACTATAAATCTGCAGATTAGGATAAGTAAAGATAAGAAACTTCTAAGTAGGATTTGTGTTCTATGTTCTGTGTTGGTTTGTGAGTTCTGTTAAGTGTTACTGTTTGTCTGTGTTGGGGAAATAATGGAGGGACAGCTGGTCTGTCTACTTTCTGTTGTTTAGCTTGGAGAGAGCTGCTTGGGAGCTCTTCTCACTCTGAAATCGCACTGGTGAATGAACTGCGCATGTGTGGGATTTTATGAGTTTAGAGTTACGTAGAGCAAATATGCCACTCCTCTGCCTGCACTGAGCTGCTGGGAGACACAGACTCAGAGCAGACAGAGAAGGAGGGGGATATTTACACACAAATAAAGTATTCTGTTTGTTAAAGCGGCTGTTGCTTAACGATGAAACTATTTGATTGAGATCTATTGAATTTATAAATGAGAGATATGTTGACGGATTAAAAATAAAAATAATTA